TACCTACCTAAACTAACTCGACGCCTCACCTTGCTTTGGCTAGCCAGGCGAGAGAGGGAGGGAAGCCCACGCCGAGCTCTCGGCAGGGACCAGAGCCACCATAGTTTGTCCGCAAAACTGCAAACTCTGAATGCACCCTGACCTTTGGAAAACTACGTGGGTGTGGCTACGCTGCAAAGCTAGGAGGGACAGCGTGCCTCAGCAGCACCTGCTGGGACTGAAAGGCAACCCTTTACGTGGCCTCTCAGCGTGTAATCCGTCTCCTCCGTACACACACAGTGATGAGACTGACGAAGCCGATGCTGAGCTATGCAGTACCAGATGTTAGGTGAGCCACTATGTCATTACTAGTTTGCTCAGGCTGTATTGTAAAAAGCCCTGCCTCATCTAAGTCATCATCCACAACTACTAATTGTGTAATCCCCACAGGGATGACACTGGAAGAGAACCTCTCCCAGGACATCCGCAGCCCAAGAGACCTGCCAGCCTGCTCCACTGGAGAGACGCTACGACTGCCCCATGAGCTTCGGGTCTGTCTCTTCCTCCTCTGGTAGGGGTGTGTGGTTTATGGGTGTGGTCTCACTGCAGGCTGATATTCCTGTGGGAGACTTTCAACGGCTTAATTTCAGTCCACAATGACAGCCAGGATGTCGCCAAAGATGTGCCCGTAAAGGTATTAATACTGAAAAACTCCACAGACTTTCTGTTAAACTACCCACACCCACAAAGGAAACATTTGTGCTCATATTTGAAGTGTTTTCCTGTGTAGGTGGAGTTACTGACTCCGTCTCACCGTCATCTGCTCCTGTCAGAGCCCCCCCTTCCCCAGCTGGACCCCTCCGCCTGCGAGGAGAGGATCATCTCGCACGAGGTCAAGGAACCTGGAGAACACAGGTCAGCTTCTTTCCCTTTCTCCCTCACTCACTCCCTCTTCCTCTCCCTCCCCTGTGTATGCTTGAAATGTGAATATGTAGTATGTAAGTTAAATGTGAGCTCATGGGATGAGGTTCGAGTCATAATTATAATAATATCATATATATAAGTCCGCTCGCCGCTCTTTCTTCCGGAGAGAGAAGTACGCACGCAGTTATTTTGCATGGACCATCTCTCTACTGTAGTCTGATATGCACTGCCTCATATATGATCTTTGCAACCGGAGAAGAGATGCTGTTGAGAAAATTCTTGAACAATTGAGTCCAGTCGCATGATCTTCACACAGGAGGACATTCTCCTGGAGGTCCAGATACAGAATGCCACACCCACTCACATGTTTCTTGACACCGTAACCTTTGACCCTTCGGCGGGGTTCAGAGCCCAAGACTTGAACACCATTCGCACCAAAAAGTCAACCAAAAAAACCAATAATCCAACTCAATAATGTTTGTTTTGCAGTTCGGAGGTGCCTGTGTTTGGAAAAGATAACCTTCTTCCTCCACGGAACATCCGTCAACACCTGTACAAATTGACTCCCCTCAGTCCTCTACAAACTTCCGGCATGGTCAGTCTCTGCACTGGTGTAGCAGACGGAGAACTTTTGGGAATGAAAACTTGTGCTAATGTAACCAGTTCAAAGCAAACTGTCAAAGTATCCACGAGTAGGCTGCGACCATTTTACGGTGAAACCAGCAATCTGCAAAATTTTCTGGGTGAATTTGTATGTTGTCACATAAATAGCAAAAGTTTTCTCCCTTGGAACTTCTGATTGCGGGTTTCTGTTACAAATTGTACAGTGTTGCATACTGGGTTTTGTTACCCCATTTTATGTCCTACAGGTCAGTAATGTGCAGGTAGGAAAGATGGATATCGTGTGGCGATCTCGGTTTGGAGAGAGGGGCAGGATCCAAACTGGATAGCTCAAAGCCACAGTCAGCTCTCCCTGCCTTCTTCCGCCCAACCTCACTCTTTTCCTTCTGAATGCAGCTGCCTTGACTCCCGCAGTTGAAGGTGACGGTGGTGGAGTCACCAGGTACCGTCAGTCTGGAGAGACCGTTCACAATCACTCTCAGAGTTTACAACGGAAGGTCTGAACCTACCTCTCCCTCTCCTCAACTCTGTAGCTGTAGACTGTGGCTCACTGAACATAATATTATTGCTAACGACAGTTGGGTATTGGTGTGCTTCTTCCCTCGTTGTCTGTCTCCAGTGGTGGACCAATGAGGCTTCGATCTGTGCTGGAGAAACATCCAGGAGCTGGCATCCTCTGGACTGGCGTGACGGGGAAGGTATATATCCAGCCGATGTAATACGAAATTGTCGGTTAACGCCATTTGCAGGTCCATAATGAGCTGCCTGCTGGAGGTTCAATGGACATGGTAGTCTCTCTGCTACCAGTTCTTCCTGGACTACAGGTGTGTGTGAGCCTACAGCTCTGTTTAGTTGCAAAAGTCATGCTATGTAATGTGGCGAATGTGTCAGCTTCAACATATTTACTGTGATACGAATCTGCCGATTCTCCATTTAATGCCCACTGTTATGATTAATTGTGTTCTCTCTTCGCACTCTCCATACAGAGCTTCAGTCCCCTGCTATTTGTGGATGTGCTGTCAAATCAAAAGAAGTATCATTTCAATAAACTCGGACAAGTTTTTGGAGATATACAACCACCGGAAACATTAAGTAGTGCATACTCATTGTCTGTAAACAAATTGGTGTCTCTCTTTACTTGAAATTAGCGTGCATTTCAAAGGAGTCGAGAAACTCAATGAGAGTCTGGTAGCAGAACCTGTATTGCTCCTGCAGACAGAGAAGATGGGGAGAGAGAGGGCAATGGGTGCCTGTCGTGATTGACAAGGGGTGGTAACATGCAGTTATGCTGGCCTATTGCCATCAGCTTTGAACGGCACTCCTCGAATAAAAAGGCTCCTTATCAAGGACTCATAACCTCCAAATAAAGAACACCATATATAGCATCTAAAGGAGAGTTACACACACAGCAGCTCCGCTGAATGCTAACTATACTCACAGGACTGGCCACCGCCCAGGTTTCTGCATCCTCAACTTGCGAACCGTCTGGAACACATCCACCACTCCCCCAGTCTTCAGCCTCTCAATGAGGATGCTCACTGCTATGTAGGTCCCAGTCCTTCCACATCCTCTGCTAGAGAGAGGGAATCATGGAGACTGTAGTAGAGTGAAACCTCTTATAGAGTAGTCAAGACTTTGATAGTGAGACCCCATTGGCTACAAAGTTCTATGACACCTTATGGTCCCTATGTACCTTGGAGGTTCCGCTGTCTACTACCACAGATAGTTCTGGCTGGCTGGTTTACATAAGTACCTGCAGTGGACTATGATGGGTTTCTTGTCACAGCTCCTCTGCCACCTCTGGACTTGACCAATCAGATCTATGAGAGCCGACCCAGTCTGGAGGACCGAGTTCCCCGGCCAGTCCGTGTACTGGAAATGCTTCACAAGTCGTGAGGACTCGTCTCTCGTGTCCACAATGTTGAACTCCCTAATACAACCATTACATCATCTACACATAGCTATATACACCCACAGAGAGATTATCAAATATTACCTGAGAGTATAGCCAGGGTATGGAGTGGTCCCAATGAGTATGACCTGCAGGTAGTCGTACTGGCCTGCCCCACTGTTGGGCCAGTACATGTGACACCTCACCTGCAGACAATGAACCCCACTGTAACTACTGCACTCCTGGTTATAGAATGCCTCATGGTTCTAAGGGAAATGTTGTCGGGTTGTTCAGAATTAAATTTTGTTGCAATCCCAATCTTAATCTGACGTCATTTGGTTTCCATTCTACTGAGATGTTCCAGATGCCTATATCAGGCCGTGACATGATCGCACAGTCCCTCACCTTCCCATCATTCTCCTTGTGTTTGGTGAGCATCACAGTGGTGGAGCTCTTCTGCTCCCAGACCATTCTCCAGAAGTCGTTCTCTGTGTCTGGGAGGGGACCTTGGGTGGCTATGAACTCCCTGGCACGATAGTAACCCTGTGTGCACGAGTATAGGTATAATTATATGGCAATTGTATATAGCTTGAAGTCTTACATTGATGTAATTGGCATTGATATAGTCAGAGCCCTTTGCCCCTGGAATACTCTTCAACCGACACCTTGTGCTGTCATCTGTGTAATAGTGAAATCAACATTGTTTTCACAATGTGGGCTAGCCCAAGTGGGCAAACTTACATGGAAGCATTTCACGATCAGCATATCTGTTCTTGTGCAAGTTGACAGGCAGAGTGCTGACTGTCTTTTGATCTCTGAGGTGCAGCGTGTTTTGGACCTTCTGGAAAGAGCCACACAGCATTTGGTGAGTCTTAAAACATGCCATACAGTAGTTCTACTAGAGTCCTGACCTGCAAGATCTCTGGAGTCCAGTCTTGCCTGTGGCTGGGTCTATCTCGAGCAGTGTCTGCAGCTGCTTGTGCAGGTCTCTGGCAGCCACTTCACTCACTCCACACTCAATGGCCTCCAGTAGAGCATCGTGAAGGAATATATACTGTTGCTGTAGGTATTACAGAAGTAGTAGTAATGTAAGCGTTGGCACGGTTTAACCATTCTATAGAGCAGTGAAAGTAGTTTGCATGGAGATTAACTTACCTCAGTCTGTACCATGTAGCAGCGTCTCCCTCTCATCCTTCGCACAAACCCGAAAATGTCAGCACTCCTTTCTTTCTTGATCCTCTTCAGCTGTGCATCCAGTGTAATAAATGTCCCTGTACGCCCCACACCGGCACTGCAATCAACAACACCACAATGGGAGCCAGCAATACATAATATTCCTATGCAATACCTGCAGTGGACTATCACAGGCCCTGCATTAATCGGGTTCGATGAAGACACCTTACGGACGAACTGGAGCAGAGGAGTTGGGTAGTCGGGCACGCCGTGATCTGGCCACACTGTGTAGTGGAACTGCTTCACAATCCTCTCTTCTTTGGATCCGTCCATTTGCACGGAGAATGTGCGGACGGTGTACTCTGCCAGGACCAAAGAGTCCTGGAAGTAGATGTGAATGGAGTCGAGAGCCTTTGTTCGCTCCATCTCGTCAGGCCAGTACTTGTGACACTTTATCTGAACAAAGCACAGAGAGAAAGTAGCAAATAGAAAACGAAAGGCGCGAATCTGTATGCTGTCTCACCCTTCCTTTCTCTTCCAAGTTGGTCAACATGACAATGGTGGCGGTGCTTTGCTCCCACACCATTCTCCAGAAGTCAGTCACAGTCGCTGGGACTGGTCCCTGAGTTGCTATGAACGCATTCTTTTGGCCATAGCCCTGCACAACAAACCACAACCAGTCTAATGAGTAGGCAGTGTATTTCAGTTGAGTGGTTCTCACGTTGATTCGGTTGGCATTAATGTAGTCTGACCCAGGCTCGCTAGGAAGAACCGCCAACTGTACTCGAGAGTGATCGTATGCTTTGATGTTGGCGTAGCGGTTCTTGGACTGATTCTCTGGTCGAAGACACACCTCTGACATGGGGGCGTGGTCAGGCTCAACGGACGAGTACTCCTCAGCGAAGAGAAAATCGTCATTGGAGTGAAGGTGGACAACATGAGCTGCAAAGTTTCTGACAGGGATTGGCTCAAATGTCCCCCCTGGCATGATCAGAAAGTGGAATATTTCACACACAATGCACACACAGAGTGTAGTGTAATGGACTGACGGTGTGGAGCAGCCAGCGGGTTGGCTATAACATGACTGGAGATGGCTGTGACAGGGTTCTTGCTACTAGTCATCTTTTTCATGGCAACCTCTTGTGGGATATCCAGCTTCTGGGAGCGACGCCTGCAGATCAGACACTCAATGTGTACACGTGACTCTGTGTAGGGTAGCAAATTAAGCTCACCGCCTCAAAATGAAGAAAATGAGAAGACTAATTGCGATGACGGCAGCAATAGTTACCAGGGTTCCAATCACCCCACCAGCAGCTGCGCCGGCTGCATTGTTGTCGGCAATTTCATCTACGACAGAGGAGAGCAAAAGGTTTAAGTGATGTAGTCATTCACAACCCTGCTAGAATACCTCTCGTAGAAAGGTTGGTGAAGTTGGTACGAATCCTGAGAGCCTCCCCCTAAAGTGACCACAAAATTAAAACCGGTACATGAGAATGAATATTACCAACTTACAGTGTCTGATTTCAGATCTATTCTGACAAAGAAGCTGTAATCAGAGCCTGATTCCAGCCTTGCATTCAAGTACCTCACACCATTTGCATACGTCACAGACTCATTTCCTATGACGTATCTCAGAGGTACACGAGTGATGTTCGCATTGGACCATGCAGCAGTGATGTAATATGGAGTGTATACATCAGGCGTATATGCCTTGGCATCATCATAATCCTCCTGCTTCATGTTCCCTTGATATCCTCTGATCAATACCACAGCATAGAAACTGCAGAGAAAGAAAGAGAATCCAAAAAAAATTTAAAGGATTTTCTAGCTCACATGACTTCTCCGGCATCAATATAGGTGTGGTCCGGTAAGGTAATAGTGATTGTTGTTCGAGAGTTCCCATCCGGCTGTATGGGTGTTGGTTGCTCTGTCGGGAGGTCGCTGAAAGTCCGGGCCACCACTTCCAAGAGAGCTGCATTCAGCTCCGGTGGTGAGTCTGGCTCTGCACCAATGGCTCTTACGATGATGCTATAGTAGCGGTACACCTCAAGACCACTTATGACAGCCCGTGTTGTGTTGACACCCGTGATTCTCTTAATAGGGTAGCCATCAATGTTGATATTGCTGGGGTCTTGTAGAACAGATGATGGGTCTAGATTAGTGGTGTCGTCCGATATCTTCCTGTAGTAGATAATGTAGCTTGAGATAGGGCCATTGGGGTATGCAGGAAGGTCCCATGATACACTGATTGATGTTGAGGTGCTGCCTTCAGCTGCTAGATCAAGAACCACTGTCGGCTCTGTTTAAAAAGAAAAGGAATTGACAACGAAATATAAATCTCGAAGATCGTCTTCATTTGCTTACCGATAGCTATTGTTCGTACAGTCATTGAATAGGGCGGTGCTCTGTTGTCTGTCTTTACATTGAATGGTTGGAGAGTGACAGTGTACTCGGCATAAGGCAGCCCATCTGAAATGGTAAATGTGCGCTGGTCTTCCAAAAGAATCAGAGTTTGGTTTGAACTAGAGTTGCTCCTCTGCGGAGGATAATCTGGCGTCTGGGTCCCAAAGTATGTGAACATAGTTTCGAAGGATCCGTTGCGATTTGACGGAGGAGTCCAGGAAATATCCAGTCTCACTTCAGTTAGTGAATTTGGTATTCTATCGAAATTGATTATTGTGTTTGTGACAGCCAGTGGTGCTGGATTAGAGAGGAAGCAATAGTGTTGGAGCAGAATGTAGCAGATGCTGGTTACTCACCGTCTTCGTTTGTCTGGTTGATGGCAGTGGAGGCGTTGCTACAGCCTGAGCTGGTGTAAGCACACAGAGAGATGCTGTAGTTGGTATTAGGGCTCAGACCTTCCAAAACGATACTAGTGTTGTCGGGACCAATGCTTGAGTATGAGGGTGGGATATTGCTGGCAAGGGTACCAGGAGGCTCAGGGATAGGCAGAACACTGTGCTTCAACTAGAAGATAAGGAGCAATCTTATGAGTGTGGTCTGGATGAGATATAATTATAGCTACCTACCGTGTAGCCAGTCCTGATACCATAGTCACACTGTGGATGCGTCCATGTCACCTCCAGTGAGGTGGAGCTGAGGTACTCGACTGTGAGATCCCTTGGAGCAGTGGGAACTATGCAAGAGAGTTGGAGAAGGAAATGAACAAGCATTGTGGGTGGTGCAATGGCTTACCGTCTTCATTGGTTTCAAATGGCCTTGGTACAGAGAATCCTCCTCTACCAATTCTGGTCTCTGGTTGAACCGAGAACTCGTATGTCAAGAATGGAGCTGCAAGAGAACATTATTCAGCTCACAGTACATCCCACTATACGAGGCTCACTGAGATCTTCCAACAGAAGATATGTCTGATCGCCAGGGACTTCAACAGTGCGATTGATATTCTCCGGTCCACCCATAATACACTCTGGAAGAATATCACCCCCTGTCTGTCTTCTTCTTCTCTGCCCCACTCCACTAGCCATTGACAATGCAACATAGTTGATAGTGTATCCGATGATGACTCCGTTGGACTGAGGTGGTTCTTCCCATGTGACATTGGCAGTGGTGGTGGTGATGCTACTACGGAGAACCTCTGGTGGCTGTGGCACATCTCCTGGAACTGTGGGCAGAAGAGTTGAGAGATGGTCACTTTGACTTAAACACACTGTGAAATGAAACTTACCATCTTCGTCAGTTACTACGTAGATTGGGGTACTAAATGGTCCATTGCCAATTGTGACTGCTGAAACTTCAATTGAGTAGTTGGTGAACTTCTCAAGACCTCTGATTTCAAATGCTGTGGCAGTATCGGTTAAGTTTGTTTTAAGATGTGGCTGTGAGCTGATGAAGTATCTAATCTCAAAGCGTCTGAGGATGCCAAAGATTACATTGGGAGGCGGAGGGGACCAGGTCACATTGATACTGGTGGAAGAGGTGTTGTAACCCATCACACCAAGTGGAGCTTCCCCAGGAACTGCAGATATCACAATAGTTCAAATGACGCTCGGTGAAGACTTTACAAACTCACCGTTCTCACTGGTTCTCTCGCTATCACTAACAGGCGGACCTCTACCAATAGTCACGGGATACACATAGACATCGTAGACGGTGTAGTTGTTCAAATTCTCCAGCTCAGCTGCCAAATTAGCCCCATTCACTTGCATCCTTTGAATAGCGCTAGTGCTTGCAATGAAGTAGTCTATTTCATATACGACAAGAACTCCATTGATGTCTATTTCATTTGGCCTCTCCCACGACACACTGAGGCTGTTAGCACTGCTGTTCTGAACCACCAAGTTCCGTGGAGCTCCACTGGGCACTGTGTATAAATAGACCAGATTTTAAAAAACTTTAAAACATTTCTCTGTGAAGTCTCACCATCTTCAGCAGTGGTAGTGTTGATGTCAGGAGTGTATGGTCCAGCCCCCACTCTGGTGTAGGCTCTGACTCGAATGAAGTAGTCCACATACTCGTGTAGACCAGTCAACTCTGCCATTGTTGAGTTCACAGTCACAGTCTGAGTGGTGTTGATGTCAAATGTCGACTGATTGTACTCCACTTCGTACTTAGTGATGATTCCGTTCCGTTCTATTGCTGGGACCTCGTCCCACGTCACTCTGATAGTAGTCGGGGAAACTTCAACAATAGACAAATTGGTTGGTGGTGATGAGGGAACTGAAGCAGAACAAATGCAATTAACAAAAGCACACTTATATTTTCTCCACTAACCATCTTGTAGTGTTGTCTCATAAATGGCATCACTATACGGACCAAAGCCGGCTTCCGTATAGGCTCTGACGCGAACGGAATACTCCACATACTCCAGTAGTTGGGTCAGCTCCGCTGTTGTTGAGGCCACAGTCAGAGTCTGAGTGGTGCCGATGTCGAAATCCGTCTGATTGTACTCCACTTCATACATGGTGATAATTCCATTCCTGTCAATGACTGGAACCTCTTCCCAGTTCACTCGAATTGAGGTTGATGAGGTTGCCGCAGCAGTGACGTTTGTCGGAGTGAGGCAGGAGCTGGAGATTTGAAAAAAGAAAGTTGTGTTTACTTATGAAAGAGTGGTTTGGAGAATCTTACCATCTTCTAGTGTCCTCTCAGTGATAGGCTGACTATATGGTCCGTATCCAGCGATTGTCGATGCCCTGACTCGTAGAGTGTACGTCACGTATTCCTCTAGCTCAGGAAGTTGGACACTTCTGACATCTCCAACAGGGACATACTGGGTCGTGTTTCCAAACGTTGACTGACTGTACTCCACCTGGTACCCTGTGACTACTCCATTCTGGTCTATATCTGGAACGTCTTCCCAGGTAACTAGAATCGAGGTCGACGATTCGGCAGTAGCATTCACGTTATCAGGAGGCGAGGCAGGGGCTGGCAGCAGAGAAAAATACTTTATTCACCAGAAGATCTTAGCCTAAGTAGAAACTTACCAGCTTCTTGTGTTTGTTCTGTAACATTCTCACTGAATGGTCCAGAGCCAACAATGGTTGAGGCTCTTACTCGAATCGAGTACACAACATATTCCTGTAGCCCAGTCAGTATCACCATTGTATCATTGACTGTGCGGTTCTGAATGGTAGGAGCTGCGGGGAATGTGTCCTGAGTATACTCCACATCGTAGCTGATGATGATTCCGTTCCTGTCAATGGCTGGGACCTGACCCCAGGTGACCAGGATTGAAGTGGCAGACTGGTTAGTGGCTCTCACATCAACCGGAGCTGACGCAGGAACTATACGAATGGGAGCAAAAAATTCTAACATGTGAGAAGCTGTTCAGTATATATAGATACTTGACTTACCATCTTGATCGGTGGTGACATATATAGCATCACTGTATGGACCCTCCCCTACCTCAGTGTAGGCTCGCACTTCAATTGAGTACACAACATACTCCAGAAGGTCTCTCAACACCAGTGAGAAGGTCTCATTGTCTACTACTGTTTGATTGAGGGTTGATACGCCTTGGGTGAAGTTCATCTGGCTGTACTCAACCTCATACAATTGGATGATGCCATTCTGGTCTATAGGAGGCACCATAGACCAGTTAACTCTGACTGTTGTCGAGGACAGGCTCTCAGCTATAACTCCATCCGGTGGAGCTGAAGGAGCTGCAGTCAAGAAAGTGAGAAATGATACATTTTCGCTACATGTACTACAAACCATCTTGTAGAGTTCTCTGATGAGAGGAGGATCGCTGTATGGTCCAGCCCCAGCAATTGTGTGGGCCCTCACACTGATTCTGTAATCAACATACTCCTCCAGACCAGTCAGAGTGATATTCAGCACTGGTATATTCGTATTGTTGGTGGATACCTGCCCAGCAAATGGCATGAGAGGTTCATATCGAACTTCGTAAAACATGATCTCTCCGTTTTCATCGATGGCTGGGACTTCTTCCCATGAAACTTGGATCACAGTGGACGATATAACTGTGGCATTCACATTCTGGGGGGCTGCAGCAGGTTCTATAAGGAGTATGGAATAAAGAGATTGTTGTGTAAATCACACTGAAAGGCTCCTACCAGCTTCGTCTGTTATTTCGACGACATCAGGACTGTATGGTCCAGGCCCCTCACTAGTGAAGGCTCTCACACTGATATTGTACTCTACATATTCCTCAAGACCAGTTAGAATGGTTGTCATATGGAGGTGTTGGTGATATTGACACTGTTTGTTGAGATCTGGTCTTGAAAACTTGCTTCTGGTATGTAGCGAACTTCATAAGTAGTGATAATCCCATTCTGATTAATAGGAGGAACTTCCTCCCAAGAAACTTCAATTTCAGTTGGAGATACCGCAGTGGCTGTCACATTCTGAGGTGAATTATCAGGTCCTGTAGAGAGTGGAAAGAAATAAGTATTAGACTAGAATATTGGTTCACTTACTGTCAGTCAGTGTCATGGCAGTGACATTAGGGCTAAAGGGCCCGAAGCCGGCACTATTGACGGCCCTCACTCTGACTGTGTACTCGACAAATGCCTGCAGTCCAGTCAGATTAGTGCTCAGCCGAGGCTCAGAGGTTGATCTAAGTTCAGACCCAGGCTCCTCTGAGAACATTACTTGGTTGAGTTCAATCTCATAGTGTGTGATGTCTCCGTTACGCTGGTCAATTGGTACAGGTTCCCACTCCAATTCAATGACTGTAGAAGTTGTTCTTACAACAGTGACATTTTGTGGGAAGCCAGTGGGTACTGCAGGGAATATGGGACCAGTTAGTAACAATCGGAAAAAGTAAAACCACCAACCAACCTTCGTCCAGAGTTCTAACTGGGGTAATATCACTGGGTGGACTGTCTCCGATTTCGTTGAAAGCCACCACAGTGAAGTTGTAGGTGATTCCAGGGAGCAGATTCATCACAAATAGGGATGTCTCGGCACATTCAACTCCACATCTGCTCCACCCTGGAAGGCTGGCTGACGGTACATAACCCTGTACCCTATGATAGGAGCATTGCTGTTGTGAGGCTCCACCCACTGCAGGACCAGATTTTGGGATGTGACGTCAACTCCTTGCACACCTTGCGGCCTCTCAGGGGTGGCTAAAGAGACAGGTGTATTCATGGAACGAGCTCATGTATAATCAGAATCATATATACATATTTGACAAATCGGCAGTTTGGCTGTTGTTTTTTATTATGCGTCTATGGAATTCATCCCATGGAGTTCAAAAACATTCACCGTATGCTTTCCAAATTTGTCGTCACGTGCAAGAGAGTGGGATACAAATACAGAACCAACACTTCTCATTGCCATGAGACTGGCTGAAACACAAACACAACGGAGCACTAAACCCAACTCACCTTGTACCAGTATTAGTGCAGGATCGCTGTCTGTTGTATCAAAGTCAGTTCCCGGCGGAGCTCCAACTTGGCACACATAAGTTCCACCATCACTAGTGGTAGCATTGACAGTGGTGATAGTACTCTCTACAGTTCTAATGCCGGTGGTCTGAGAGATTGTGATGCGAGGGTTGGCCTCATCCACTAGGCTAGAGTTATGCCACCAGCTGATGTTTGGGAGAGGGTAAGCTGAGGCTGCACAGGTGACAGTGAAGTTGTCTGCAATGCTGACATTGGCACTCTCAGGGTGGAGATCCACCGCGACCGCAACTGGCAAGAGGGCACATGTTCAACACTCACACCAACAAACAGAGAATTTAATTCCCAGTGGCACAATATTGTGACTGGAGGCACTATGGTTGGTTATTGGTATGCAAACATTCACGGTAGGTAGATTAGGTACACACATACCTCTCAGAACGACATCATCTGTGTCGTTTCCAGCATCGTTCTGGACGCTGCATCGGTATTCCCCTCCATCATAGGAATCGTCAACCACTACATCAAGTTGTGAGGTTTGACTGACAACCATAGAGTCACGTAGTCTGGTCCACGTGAAGGTGTTCCCGGGACCTCCCACAGCAGAGCAGGTAAAGTTCTGGGTCACACCTCTCTCACTGCTCACATCACGAGGTGATGCATCCACACTTCCTTCAGGAGAAACTGAAACAAACGCACAAATGAGAATCTTTTGTAATTTACGGTCTCTTGAACCTACTTGTCAGTCTGGCGGTTTCAGTGGCAGTGCCAGTTGTAGATTTGGCTACGCATTGGTAGTCCCCCTCATCTCCAAACACAGCTGGAGACAAGCTGAAAGTACTGCTGTTGCTGACGGTTGTGTTTCCACCCTCGCCAATCCTCTCCCACGTGACATTGGGGGAAGGAATCCCATCAGCTTCACATACAAACTCAACCTCAGTTCCATTGGCTGTGAATATGTCCTCTGCACTGGTTATGATAGGTCGGATTAACACTGTGACTATAGCAGAGCCCTCTCCAGCTGCATTGGTAACGACACACATGTGGTCTCCACCCTCTGAGGTGGTGATGCTGGGTATCACGAGTGTGGCGGTTGTGACGTTGATTGCAACTCCCTCTCTCTGCCAGCTGAAGGTATTGTTGGGTCCACCGAGAGCCGAACAAGTTAGAGTCACATTATCACCAGTACTGGCCGTAATCTCGCTGGGTGATATTGTGACCGTCTGTGCAGGAGATACTACAAGGAGAGAAAAAGAACAGACGTATCGTTGAGATATTTTGCTCCACATAATATAGACTCACGGAAGAGGGTAGCCATGTCAGAAGTGGCGGTGAAGTTGTTCGCTGTTGCTGTACATATGTAGCTTCCTTCAGCTCCAAACTCTGCTGGCGAAAACCGTAGTGTGGTTGTGTTGACTCCAGTGATCAGATCAGAGCTGATTTCAGAGCCATTGGCATAGGTCCACTGGTACGTGGGATTGGGAAAAGCCTCTGCTAAGCACTGAAGAGAAACGTTAGAACCATTAGTCGTTGCTTCGTCTGATGGGTCTTTTGATATGACAGGATTAATGAAAACAAACGTAGATGCGTTGAAGTAAATGCCCAAGTTTCTGACGCCACAGCCGTATTTGCTTCCATCATCCACAGTGATGTTGGTAAGGGATAGAACTGTGCTGTTTTCCCCCTCTAAGTCCACACCGTTCTTGGACCATTGAAATAGGTTGCCAGGCCCACCCCTAGCACTGCATGTAAGGTTGACATCATCTCCCACTGAGAACGATTCATTCTCTGGGTTTATCTTCACAGTACCGTCAGGAGAAACTGCAGGGTATAAGTAAGATAGTGGTATAAGATTCGAAATCGGATGCTATAGCAACTTACGTGTTAGTGTAGCTATTGAGGAGTTGATGATTACGTCTCCTGACGTAACCATGCAGAAGTAGTTGCCTTCATCTCCATAATACGTTCGATTGAAGATCAGAAGAGATGTGTCTTCTCCAGTCACGTTTGCACTAATCTCTCCTCCGACTTTGAACCACTGGTAGGTCGGTTCAGGAAACCCACTTGCTGCGCACTCTAGGAAACCAATAACAAGAACATCGAGATCTATGGAAGCTGGGTTTAGACTGATGACGGGGCTGACATTGACCGTGAAGCTGTCTTCATCACCTCCAGCTTCATTACTGACTGCACAAGTGTACACACCACCATCATCATTGCCTGTGATGTTCACCAGATTGAGGACAGGTCCAGTTTCGTTGCGATGATCTCATCATTCAGTGTCCACTGATACTCGTTGGATGGTCCACCCTGAGCTGAACAGTTGAGGATTATATCATCTCCTTCGAAGTAGAGAGCCGTGGATGGATCAGCAGACACACTGACGCTCCCCTCAGGAGAAACTGCAAGAAGGATGGAGAATTTAACTCTGGAGAAGACACAGGCTATACTACTAACCGTAGAGTGTGAAGGGATCTGAAAGCATCTCAAAACCACCAAAATTTGCTCCACATACATAGTCCCCTTGGTCACTGAAAAGAACTGGGGGAAAAAGTCAGATTTTGAGTTCTCCGGATTTCTGTCAGCCCTGGGTTGTTCCCCTGGCCACTGCCGCTGCTGCCCCCCGACGAGAAATAACCTTCGATAATCTCCAAAGTGTACCAAACGTATCCGACGTTATCCGCTGGCATGGTGGACGATAGAGTGCAGGTGAGTATAACGCTTGATCCGTTAATAGCCGGTACCCCAACTGCGTAACGTTCACTGAAGGAGCGAGGAGAGAGGGTGGAAAGACACAGTGAGCCCCTCCCCCTTTCTTTGCCTGCGCCAACCTTACCTGTCGCGCTAGCAAAGGCCCACAGAAAGGGAAGCAGCAGCAGGCAAGTCGTCGAAGACGTGCGAGGCGTCCCCATCTTTCGGACAAGGAAGGCAGCAAGGATTGGAGCTCTTTTCTGTTACCCAACAGCGGCCCCCCAGCGATACGCCCTCTCTGACACCAGTCTGCGCATGCGCATCCGACGGACAGTAATGGTTAAAAAAAGTGACTCTACAAAACTACACACATGCATGGGTTAAGAAAGAAAGATCAGTCCACGTGAAAAAAAGGGACTATCTACTTGAAATTATCGTAGAGTTCAAATGATTCCAGATACTCGAGAGTTGTCTTGTAGCAGAATCCAGTTGTGACTGTGATAGAGAGAAGGGTATGTAAATGGATCAGGTAAGACACAATGTAATGGATATCTTGCCTCAGCCTGGACCATGCCAGGCCTCTGGAGCCTCAGGTTCCTGACTGTGTGGAACACATCCACCACTCCCTCAGTCTTCAGCCTCTCAATGAGGATGCTCACTGCTATGTAGGTCCCAGTCCTTCCACACCCTCCACTAGAGAGGGAGAGAGAGAGATGAAAGACAGTGAAGTGCTTGAAATCACCAAATTAGACAGCTACGTGCAAGAAGTGCTCTCCATAATGATCTGAGACACTAAAGGCAAAACTGGTATATTTTGGGCCCCAGGACTTGTGCAGCTAGTGGCTCACCTGCAGTGGACAATGATGGGTTTGTCCCCAGAATTCCTCTGCCATTTCTGGACCTGACCAATGAGATCGATGAGACCGGAGCCCGACGCAGGCACCGACTCCTCGGGCCAGTCCGTGTACTGGAACTGCTTCACGTTGAGAGAGGAGCTGTCATGAGTGTCGACCAGCTGGAACTCCCTCAGAACATAGTCAGTGAAGTCTGTGGATTTGCAGGAGATGACCTGCAGCTTCCCGTACGTCTCTGCTCCGGTCTGGGGCCAGTAGCGATGACACTTCGTCTGCAGTAAGCAAAAGACTTTCACACCGACAAGGCTGGCAGTGGTGGGCAGCTGCTACCTTTCCTCCCTCCTTCTCTTTGGTGAGCATGATAATGGTCGCACTCTTTAGCTGCCACACTAACTTCCAGAAGTCGTCCTGCGTGTCTGGAAGAGGGCCTTGGGTGGCTATGAAGGCCTTTGCCTTGTGGTAACCCTGTAGAGAGTAGCTAGGTGGAGCACTTTGACAACCATCCAATGTGTATGGGGTCCTTACGTCTATGAAACTGGCATTGATGTAGTCAGACCCCTCCACTCCGGGCACTGATGACAGACGACACCTATTACGATCATCTGCAAACAACACATGGCAATAACTTAAGAAGATAGAGGCTTCAAACATACATGGGAGGGCATCTGGATTGGCTCCGTATCTGTTTTTGGGTTTGTTGAATTGGAGAGTGCCTGTGTTTCTCCGCAGCTTGCGGTGGATGGTGCGGTCGAGATTGTCAAACTGCAGGCTGAGACCAGTCACCTTTTGCTCCACATCAACCTCACAGAGCTGCTTGTACTGCTCCTGTAGCTCCCTTGCCTGGACTTCTGTCACTCCACATTCGATTGCCTCCAGCAGAGCATCATGAATGAACACATACTGAGGCTGTGTAATAATAGACGGTTCAATATCACATAGAGAGAAGATTGTGTGGTATTTGGCTCACCTCTGTCTGAACCATGCAGTTGCGTTTGTAGCGCATCCCGCGCACGTATCCAAAGATATCGAAGTTCTTTTCTTCTTTCATCCTTCGCAGCTGGGAAAAGAGTGTAATGAACGTACCCGTCCTCCCTACCCCAGCACTGTAGGAAGGATCGCGATACACTGTCAAACTCAGAGGTTGTGAATTCTAATTGATCCCCCCACCTGCAGTGGACAACTATGGGTCCCGAGTTCTCTGGTTTGAAGCCCATGATTTTCCTCACAAAGTGGAGTAGCGAGGTGGGGTACTCCGGTACTCCGTGATCGGGCCACACGGTGTAGTGGTATTGAACAACGATCCTCTCCTCCTTGGAGCTGTTCACCTGGAGAGAGAAGCACCGCTGGGTGTAGTCGGCGAGGACCAGGGACTCTTGGAGATGGACTCTGATCCTGCCAAACAGACCACTCTTGTCCTCTGGCCAGTACGGATGACACTTGGTCTACACACACAGAGACACACACATAGAGAGGTAGTGTGTGGTGTGGGTAAAGGGGTGGGGTTCTCACCCTCCCTTTCTCTTCCAGGTTGGTCAACATGACAACGATGGCTGAGCCTTGCTCCCACACCATTCTCCAGAAGTCAGCCACAGTATCAGGATTTGGACCTAACACACACACACACACAGAAGAAGATATAAAACAAGCTCAAAGCTGATATTACCTTGAGCAGCTATGAATGCGTTTCTCTGCTTGTACCCCTGTGTGGAATCATAAGATATCGTGAGGTTCAACAATCGCTCCAGAGTCACTCACATCAATGAAGTTGGCGTTGATATAGTCAGAGCCCTCTTTGTTGGGATCCTCGTTTAGTTTGACACGAGAGTGATCATCTGGGACAGAGATTGAACTCAATAGCACTTCACACTGTGCTAATGGTGGACTTACATGCGACAATGTTGGCATATCTGTTCTTTGAGATGTTGCAGGACAAGTGACAGGCAATGGAGGTTGGAGCATGATGCGGCTCAATACTCTACAAGAGACAGAGATGGGGAGAGAGTATATACAGGGAAGAAATTTGGGAAGGGAAGGGAGAACAAACATTGTATTCCTCAGAAAAGAGGTAGTCATCATTAGAGTGCATCCTCTGCACGTGGTCTTTGAACTTGTCGAGAGGGATGGGTTCCATGGTCCCAGAGAAGGGGCTGATGGGGTGAGGGTTGATAAACACTGGCTGCATCTGTACTCCCTCCTGCTGGCCTGAGCCCTCTGCAATCTCCCCCTCAAACAGAAACTTGTAGGCACGACGCCTGAGCACATACACACAGAGTCAGTATAATATTGTCCACAGGCATGTAGAGAGTCATACAAGAGGGGTTGGGTATGTTGGATGATCTCCTTACCTCAACCATATCCAGACCAGAATAACTGCGACACCCAAGGCAATGAGAACTAGAAGAACGACAGTGACTGATGCAGCTATAGCACCGGCATTGGAGGCTGGCTTGGGGTCCTCTCTGGTCTTGAAATACTCAAAGTCGGTGTGGAATATGTGGGGCTAGAGTAGCGGCAGGGTAGCACCGTCAGCACTGAGATACATGAGTATATAGTGCCAACTCACCTGATTTGATGTGTCGGACATGATGTCAAATCTAATGATGTACGCATAATCTGTATCGCTCGAGAGCCCAACGTTCTCATACATAACACTGTCCACCATAGTGAAGGTACCATCACCAACAGTGAACATTGTAGGAACATTCAGGGGATTCCCCCAGGCTGCAGTGATGTAAGCCTCTTGTGGTGGATTTGCCATAGGATCAAAGGCTACAGCACTGTTGTAAGCATCCTGATCAGGTGGTTTTTCCCTGTCGAAAGTGCCGGTGATTCGAATGATAATGACGGCATAGAATCTGCATAGAGAAAGGAAAGAAAGTCGTTGAAGGAGCAGTAACTATTCAAGGTTCCGGAAGTTTCTATTAAGACATACACGACGGGGCCAGTGTCAATATCCGTTGCGTCTGGAAGCTCAATTGTGAATGTAGTCCGTCCGGTGGCAGTGGTGGGTGTGATTAATGTTGGAGGCGTGTCAGTTGTGGTGTACGTGCGATTCACTCGTACAGAGTCAGGTGTCAGCAGCCCTTCACCGCCTTCTCTACCCACTGCCCGAACTATCACAGAGTATTAGTGAACGGGTCCAACCCTTCAATGCGAGTAGTGCGCTATGAAAAAACCAACAATTGATGAGTGTAGTACTAATACAAATGGAAGGCCCAACCTGAGGGTACTCAACAGTTATGTGATCGCTCTGTTGGTTCAAATGAAGGGGGCTCCTGGCCAGTATACTCAATGTAGTAGACCATGTACTGAGACAGAGGTCCATTGGGGTACTGCGGGGAGATCCCATGACACTCCCAATGTCTCCGAGTCTACAGCAACCACTATTAAGTTAGTCACCGCCGTTGGAGCTGCATAAATAGTACATTGATTCAAACGATACAGGGGTGGAAGAGGGGTCCTACCAATTGCCATGGTGTTCATAGAGAGAGAGCTGGATGAACCGTCTCTGCTGAGTTTGATGTTGAATGGAGTTAGAGTAATGGAGTAGCTGGCAAAGGGGAGAGCTCCTCAAAGGTGAAGGATTGTTGGTTTCCATCTTTTAGAATCTCAGTAGTTTTGTCCACCGTTCTCCTCCTATCCGGAGGATAACCATCCAGATGTGCAGCCTCGAACTCTAGTCGGTAGTGGAATGGTCCAAATCTGTCTGAAGGCTTGGTCCACGTAACGGTGAAAGTGACTGATGAGTCATTATTCTGTGCCTGATTGACAAACATCAAGTCTCCTCCAATAGCTGGTGGAGCTGCATGTACATAATGAGAGAGAGAGGTAATCGTTCCAGATGGGAGGGACCCTACTCACCATCTTCATCAGTTTTATTAGTGATGACTGTAGCTGGTCCACAGCCTACACTGGTGGAGGCACAGAGTGTGACAGTGTAGAACGTGTTTATTTGGAGGTCACTCAGCGGTACTTCCAGAGTTCCCGGGTCGAGAACATCCATAATGGGATCATTTCCACTGTTGGCTTCCACATAGGAGAACTGTGAGTAAAGAACTAGTTATACAGAGCTGGTGGAAGATTAGAGCAAGACACCGACGTTGTAGCTGGTTCTGATTCCATAATCACACAGTGGGTGCTCCCAAGTCACCACCAGTGACGTTGAACTGTTGTACTCCACCAGAAGATCCTGAGGCATGGTTGGCACTGCAAGAGAGAGTGGAAATAGTGTGTCTATATTTAGATTCTCATTATGATGTCGTATGGATACCTGACTCTGGTGTTCTAAATATGGTAGCATTGGATACTTCTCCCGGTCCTAGACTATTGACTGCCTGTGCGCGAAACTCATATGTCGAGTATGCAGCTGAGAAAAGAGAGGAAGGAATTATTAGAACAGTAGCAAAGATTTTCCTTACTGGCATTGACATCAAGCTGGGTCACATCTGGGGAAACTGTGAAGTTATTGTTGGTGGTGTTAGGTACAATGCAATCGTCCAGAAAGTTGTCAGTCTGCCTCCTTCGACGTGAGTCTAGACCAGCATTCACATCGCCTATTGCCGCTAGGAGAACGTTGAAGGAAGTTAGGTCTCCTCCGGTGACCAAAGGAATCACCCAGCGAAGTGTCACAGACACCAAAGACTCATCCGGTGGTAGCTCTAACTTGATATCCATTTCATCGACCTCAGGAGGCTTTTCTGGCGGCTCAGGAACTGCATATAGAGAAAGACATTGCAAGTCTCTAGACATCTCGGGTACAGTATTTAGTTGTTACCATCCGGCTCTGTTCGGGCAACAGCGAACCTAGGGTTGTAAGGACCCGGACCAACCACAGTACGTGCTCTGACAGAGATGGTGTAGTTGAGCAGAGCTCCGAGACCGGTTAGAACAACAGATGTGTCAGTGTCGGGGACCAGTACTGTGTCAGTTGGTGGATGAGTAATGTTTGTCACTGTCTGGTTGAACTGGACTTGGTACTCAGTGAGGATTCCATTGTGGTCAATGCGTGGGAACGTTTCCCAGCTGACATTGATCATACTGGAGCTGAGAGTGGTGGCAGTAATGTTCGGAGGGAAACCAGATGGCACTGGAGGGATAAAACACACACACGAGGGTTGAAACATGTTCAAATGTGTACCTACCATCTTGAGCAGTGGTAGTGTTGATGTCAGCAGTGTATGGTCCAGCCCCCACTATGGTGCAGGCTCTGACTCGAATGAAGTAGTCCACATACTCGTGTAGACCAGTCAACTCTGCCATTGTTGAGTTCACAGTCACAGTCTGAGTGGTGTTGATGTCAAATGTCGACTGATTGTACTCCACTTCGTACTTAGTGATGATTCCGTTCCGTTCTATCGCTGGGACCTCATCCCACGTCACTCTGATAGTGGTAGATGTGACATTAGCAACAATCACATTCAGTGGAGGGGAGGCAGGCCCTGTTGGACACAAATTATTAGCTTATAATACAGTAAAGCAGTTCTCCTTACGGTCTTCAAGAGTTCTATTGGTCACTGGATCACTGTATGGTCCATATCCCACTCTAGTAAAGGCTCTGACACTGATATTGTAGTCCACATATTCCTCAAGACCAGTCAGAGTGGTGTTCAGCAGAGTTGAATCAACAATTACAGAATTGTTGGCTATTTGTCCATTGAATGTCTCCAGAGGCATGTACTCAACCTCATACATAGTGATGTCTCCATTCTCATCAATAGCAGGGACCTCCTCCCAGGTCACCAGGATCTCGGTAGATGATTCAGCCATTGTCATTACATTCTGAGGAGCTGCTGCAGGCTCTGTGTTGGGCATAGAAATGGGAGAAGTATAACACTGCTAGCTCTGGATTTTATACTTACGATCTTCCTCAGTCCGGTTAACTATACCATCGCTGTATGGTCCAGGTCCAATCATAGTGTAGGCCCTTACACTGACACTGTAGTCCACATATTCCTCCAGACCAGTCAGAGTAGTTTTCAGCATTGTGGTATTGGTGGTGTTAGTGGATATTAATCCATTGAATGTCTCTAGAGGATCGTATCGAACTTCGTAGACAGTTATAGGTCCACTCTGATTGATGGCAGGGACTTCCTCCCACGATACTTGCATCTCAGTGGAAGAAAGGACAACTGTCATCACATTCTGTGGAGGTGCATCAGGGACTGCATGGGGAAAATACAATGAAACCAACAATGCAAGCTGGAGATCTATAATTTACGATCTTGATCTGTTCTTTCGACCATGCCGACACTGTATGGTCCAGGTCTCTCATCAGTGTAGGCTCTCACACTGATATTGTAGTCCACATCCTGCTCCAGACCAGTCAGGTTGATTGTCAGTACTGGACCAGTTGTGTTGACTGTCTCTGTGACTAGTACACCATTGAATGTCTCCAGAGGCTCAAACCTAACCCCATAAATAGTGATGATCCCGTTCTGGTCAATAGGAGCCACTGGTTCCCACGAGACTCGGATTTCAGTGGAAGACACTGCAGTGGTCGTCACATTCTGTGGAGCTGCAGCAGGCGCTGGAAGAAAGGATAGAGTATTAGACTCCGGGGAAACGTCTAGAAAGACTTCCTACCATCTTCTAGTGTTCTTTGAACCATCCCATCACTGTATGGTCCAGACCCCACACTAGTGAAGGCTCTGACACTGATATTGTAGTCCACATATTCCTCAAGACCAGTTAGAGTGGTGTTCAGCAGAGTTGGATCAACAGTTACGGAATTGTTGGCTATTTGTCCATTGAATGTCTCCAGAGGCATGTACTGAACCTCATACATAGTGATGTTTCCATTCTCATCAATAGCAGGGACCTCCTCCCAGGTCACCAGGATCTCGGTAGATGATTCAGCCATTGTCGTTACATTCTGAGGAGCTGCTGCGGGACCTATATATACGTACTGTGATTGATGAACAAGCACACAATATATGATTCCTTCTCTTACGGTCTTCAAGTGTTCTATTGGTGACTGGATCACTGTATGGCCCAGGCCCTGCACTAGTGAAGGCTCTCACACTGATATTGTACTCCACGTCCTCTTCCAAATCAGTTAGAGTGATATTCAGCGACGTCGTGTTGCTCATGTTAGTGGATATCTGCATGTCGAATGTCTCCAGAGGAACATATTCAACCTCATATGAAATGATCTCTCCATTCTCGTCAATAGGCAGAACCCTTTCCCATGTGACTAGGATCTCAGTAGACGACAGAACCATGGTGGTTACATTGCGGGGAGCAGTTCTCGGACCTGCGAAAGAGATATATTAATTGAACCTGCCACACAAATACTGTATATCTTACTGTCTTCAAATGTCGTTGCAGTGACTGGGTCACTGTATGGTCCAGGTCCCACACTGGTATAGGCCCTAACACTTACATTATACCCCACACTTTCCTCCAGACCAGTCAGGGTCTCCATTGTTGCTGGTGCAGTCACGTTTTCAAAGCGAGTGACTAATACTCCAAATGTTTCTAGAGGCTCATATTGGATCTCGTATACCGTAACGTTGCCATTTTTGACAGATATCAGACAGCTCGACCCAAGACACTGCGATTTCTGTTTCAGATAGAGCCATGGCTGTTGCATTTAGCTTCATGTCAGGCGCTGAATAAGGAAAAATGGTTTACACACATTTTTGTAAGCATTTGTATGCACATTTGTATGTGAGAGACACTTACCATCTTCATCTGTTCTCTCCACAACACTGTCGCTGTATGGTCCAGGCCCCACACTAGTAAAGGCTCTCACACTGATATCGTACTCCACATATTCCTCCAGACCAGTTAGAATGGTGGATGTCATACTGGTGTTGGTAATACTCTCCGTAACTGTCCCACTACATGTCTCCAGAGGTACATAGCGCACCGCATACATTGAAATAACTCCGTTCCGTTCCGCTGGAGGAACCTCCAACCACATCACCATAATCTCAGTTGGTGACAGGGCCCTAGCTGCAATTATCTCAGGCGAACCAATGGGAACTGCGGGAGTAAGAAAAGACATGAAAACTGTTTGTATTAGCAAATTCAAAACCGACCTTCCTCCAGTGTTGTGACCACCTCTGGCTCACTGGGTCTGCTGTCTCCAATATCGTTGACAGCCACCACAGTGAACTCATACTCCACACCAGGGTGGAGACCAGTCACTACTACAGTCTCATTGGGAGTGCTTCAGAACCTCCATTCCATTATCTCCACTACCACTGCCGAGGATGAGAAAGTCTGGTCGAGTGTACATCACTCTGTAGCCAGTCACCGGAGCATTATTGTGGTGAGGTTCCATCCACTGCAGGGTTATGTTGCGAGAGTTGATTTCAATGGCAGTCAAATTCTGAGGCTGCTCCGGAGTATCTATAAGGCACAGAGTAATGTTTTGGAATAGAATAGCAGGAACTTACCTTGGATTAGCACCAGAGCCAGTCTACTCATTACGTCATCAAAAACAGTGCTCCTTGCTATACAGGTATAGTTGCCCGAGTTATTGAAGGAAGTGGTCATGACAGTGAGTGTGCTAGTGATATCAACTTCATCAGAGAAGGTCTCGGATATCATGATTCCACTGGTGTTCTCCAGCGCAGTTCCGTTGTGGAGCCACACTATCTCTGGACGCGGGATCCGTTAGAACTGCAGTTCAACACCAGTTCTTCAGTCCTTGTGACATTCGTATCAGCTGGCTCATCGGTAAAAACAGGAATGACTAGGAAAGAAGAGATCATTATGAAATGGTGCTTCTTAAAGTGGGAGGTTTTTAGCTCACCGTTGACGACTGCAGTTGCTGAGTCAGACCCTGCAAGATTCTCTACCGTACATTGATACACACCTCCAACTGATGCATTTGTTATGGGGATCACCAGCTCTGGACCGTCAGAATTCTCAGTCTCGGTGCCCAGTTTGACCCAACTCACTTCGTTCCCTGGCCCACCCTCCGCTGAACATGTCAGCGTGTGATTGCTGCCTCTCATAGTGGCATTCACTCCAGGCGGTGTGATGGCTACACTGCCCTCAGGAGAGACTGAAAGGAAATTAAGGGACTACATATTGCACATGAAGGTAGGTAGTAGTGAGGGCATACATATTGCACATGACAGTAGGTAGTAGTGAGGGCATACATATTGCATGTGAAGGTAGGTAGTAGTGAGGGGATAAGGGCATACACGAATGTCTTACCAGACAAAGTTGCTTCGGCTGATGTAAGTCTATCCAAAAGACTGGAGTTGGCTACGCAGTGGTAGACGCCAAAGTAGTCGTACTGAACACTATCTATAGTCAGAGTACTATTCACAGCAGTTCCTTCCACTGTAGTGTTGACAATTATGATCTGTCCATCGCTCGACATGTATGTTTGGCTACTGCTAGTAGAGTCACTGGGAGAGCCAGACATTTCTCCACTGGTAGAGCCACCTCCACTTTCGGAAGAGGCGGAGGATGAACCAGGGAAACTGCTGCCGTCTCTTTCACTGTTTCCCTCGTACTCCCAGACAATGTCAGGAACTGGGAAACCCTCGGCCATGCATGAGAAAGTTACACTCATGGAAACATTGGTCGTCATATTCTCCGGGCCAGCAATGATATTGGGTGCCACGTAGAGCAGAGTTGAGTCGTTACTGCTCCCTGCTGCGTTAGTCACTGTGCACTGGTAGAGTCCAGCGAATGCTGCAGCCACATCAGTTAATTGGAGTGTGTTGCTGGTCTCATCCATCAGTACATAGAGTCTTTCTCCCACTGGAAACGAGTTCATTGGACCTCCGTCTACATTACACGTGAAATTAAAGTCTTCCCCGACATAAGCTACGGCGAATTCAGGAGTTAGCTCAACAAATGGAGCAACTGTGGGGAAATAAACATCACAACCAGTCATAATATTGTAGTGGAGTCCTTACTGGATAGTGTGGCTCGCTGCTGACTCAACTACCAGGTCATTGGAGGTGGCTCGGCAGAAGTAGAAGCCCTCGTCTCCGAACATGACTGGAGCTATGGTGAGAGTGCTTGTGGTTGAGAGCACAGAGTCCGGGTCACCCTCCTTTATCCACTCAAATGACGGCTCAGGGAAACCGGTAGCATCACAGGTAAAGTTGATCTCGTTGGTTTCATCCATAGCATTGACATCAACTGGATCTAGAGTTATCACTGGACTGATGAACACATATGTAGTGTAAGTTTCAGAGCCCGCGGGATTGGTGACACTGCATGTGTAGGCTCCGCCGTCATCGGCAGTCACATTGGGAATAGTGAGAACCATTGTAGCCTCATTCTGCAGCTCTTCTCCATTGAAACTCCACTGAAAGGAGTTAGCAGGTCCTCCTAGAGTGATACAACTCAGTTCGACAAAGTCCGTATCGTTAAAGGTCATGTTGTCGGGTGTGATATTCACTCCACCTTCAGGAGAAACTGCAGGGGAAAAGACACAATTAATGCAAACAGAGTAGTGGGAAAGAGAGGGACTAACTGGTGAGAGTTGCTGGTTCAGATTGTACAGAGACTCCACTAGAGGTGGCGTTGCAGTGGTAAACTCCCTGATCACCAAACACAGCAAGAGACAGAGTTAGCATCGAGGTGTTTGCTCCGGTAGCTGACTGCGGCAGTTCATTGCCCTCTCTGAACCACATGTACGTTGGATCCGGGAAGGCCAGTGCGGTACAACTGAATGTTACTGAGGTTCCGTTGACAATCTCCTCATCCATTGGGTCTTCAATGAACACTGGACTGATTAACAGGCTGACATCTGCACTTCCACTCCCCGCAGCATTACTAGCTACACACGTGTAGATGCCTCCATCATCCACCACTGTAATCATCAAAAGAAGAAGAGTGTTGGAACTGTCATCTATTACATCTGTAAAGTTCTCCCCGTCTTTCAGCCACTGTACAGAGTTGTCTGGTCCTCCTAGTGAGGTGCATGTGAATGTCACATTGTCTCCCTCTTGGTAGACTTCCCCCACTGGAGTTACTGTCACACCTCCTTCAGGAGAAACTGTGGGAGTACAGTACATGTGGATTAGTGACACAATGTAGTGATTGTATGTACGGTTAATGTACAACTACAGATTGCAATGCTGAAAGAAATGTAGTCGGAGGGGATAGGGGTATGTTTAACGACTCGTGATGATCCTCAAGGGAATTTAGGGCTGAAAGTGGATGAAACGCAATACTTGTGAGGCATGGTGAGGATTACTCACTTGTGACTGTTGTTGGATCTGAGACCTGAGTCTGGTCCTCAACAACCGAGGTGGCCACACACCGGTACACTCCCTCGTCACCGAATACCGCCGGATTGAATTCCAGGACCCGCCCAATGCTGACTGGGTGAACACCAGTTCATTTACACCATCGTCTGATGGACTGCCTGGCCCACTGGCTGATGCACTGTTTGATGCACTGCCTGACACACTGCTCGACTCACTGCCTGATGCACTGCCTGACACACTGCTCGACTCACTGCCTGATGCACTGCCTGACACACTGCTCGACTCACTGCCTGATGCACTGCCTGACACACTGCTCGACTCACTGCCTGATGCACTGCCTGACACACTGCTCGACTCACTGCCTGATGCACTGCCTGACACACTGCTCGACTCACTGCCTGATGCACTGCCTGACACACTGCTCGACTCACTGCCTGATGCACTGCCTGACACACTGCTCGACTCACTGCCTGATGCACTGCCTGACACACTGCTCGACTCACTGCCTGATGCACTGCCTGACCACTGCTCGACTCACTGCTGATGCACTGCCTGACACACTGCTCGACTCACTGCCTGATGCACTGCCTGACACACTGCTCGACTCACTGCCTGATGCACTGCCTGACACACTGTTTGACCCATTTCGTTCCATGCCTATCTCCCACCTGTACTCGATCGGGAACCCCTCTATTGGGCAGATGAGTCTCTCCACTGTTCCATTGGTTGTGGTGAGTATCGGGAGCACCAGGGACTCATTTGTGTACAGTCTGACCATAGGCTAGCAGTGGCTTCAACCGCCCCTGCCTCATTCTCAGCAATACAACTATAGTTCCCTCCATCGGTTGCTGAAATGTCTGTCACAGTCAGAGATGAGTTGACTCTCCAGATTTCCTCCATGTCCTGCCCACTGAACACGACCTCTCCTGAGGGAAGTCGCCACGTGATGTTGAGAGTCCCGTTGCCTACTGCAGTACAGGAGAAGGTGATGGAGTTGCCTCTTTCTTCAACTGAGTCTATGGGAGGCTCAGTAATGACTGGGGGGTCCCCTGAAATAATGACATTATCATTGTAAAACTGGTGGTACTATTGCATACATGAATGTACTAAAAAACTCTCATTTGTTTTTTCGATCTTTGAACAAACTTACTGACAGCACTGAGAGTGGCTATCTCTGAGATGGATGTGATCATTTGCATGTCACTGTAGGCCACAGAGCAACTGTAGTTTCCTTCAAAATCCTCTGTCACATTCACCAGAGTCAGAGTACTGGTAGCTATATCATTGACCATCTCTGTCACTTGAATACTGACATCAATACCAGCTGGGCCAGTCCAAGTGAACTCCAGGGAAGGAATGGCTTCAGTAGGTCCACCATAAGCAGAGCAGCTGAAGGTGGCATTCCTCCCTAGTCCAACTCCGACAAAGATACTCTGTGGATCCTCCGTTATTGCTGGTACTGCAGATCGCACAAAGATAATTATTCACACACTTTACTTCACAGGTATACTCACCAATGTCCACACTAGCTGATGCTTCAGTGTCATCACTGGGTGCACCTTCATAGGTTACATCACAGGTATACATACTCCCCCTATCACTCAGTGAAAGCGGGAGAGTAGTGATTGAGCTAGTAGTGCTGTTGTCTGCATTTATGTCTTCAGTTTTTGAACTGATATTCAATCCTGTAACATCAGATGGAGCTAGCCAGTCAATTGTCAGTGGAGCATTATCTCCACCAAAAGCAGTGCAGGTGAATGTGGCAGTCAGGACATCACTGTACTCCAGAATCATATCCTCTGGTCCCATCAGTATGGCTGGATCTATGTTTGAGATAATTAACTCAAATACATCATAACAGCAAAGTGGTTTAATTACCAACTGTGACCGTAGCTGCAATTTGTTCTTGTCCGGTACTGCCAACAACTTGACAGGTGTAGCAACCTTCATCCTCTTTACGAACTTCGAATGTCAGGGTTGATCGATTAATGTTGTTGACTAGCATCCCCCTTTCTAAACTGGTACTGCTCTCTGGGACCTGCCAAGTGACATTGTGTGGTGGATCTATGTCACTCACACGACAAGTGAGAGTGACATCAACTCCGTAATCGTACGTTCCTCCTCCAACCACGACTGTAACTGCGACCATAACCATGTGATGATAACCTTTTTGTTTAGAGACCATAATAATAATGCTTACATTGTCCTGCAGCAATTGCTACCGCTGTAGAGAATACTAACAACACTTTACACTGCAGCATCATCTCCCCGTTCACTGACACTCCAGTCAGTCGCGACGTCGTCCGCACTGAGAGTTCGTACAGCGCAAGCGGACAATTATTCGCCACGCCCCCTCGCGCGCTGTAATCCACGTTCAATAGTTATGATAACAAAATCGAGAGGGATGGGCTACCCCTCCAGGCGATCCATATTGGACTGCTGAGTATTAGAGCTCAGTTCACTACTAGTCTCTGTGGAATGTTTGCTGTCTACAGAGGAATGAGATGTCTGTCGAGAATCTCTGGCCTCTATCTCTTTCAGTAGAGCACTGGCCTCCTCAAGAGTGTCCTGCATGGGAGGGGGGAGAGGGAATGGGGAGGGGAGGGGGAAAGAGAGAGAGAGATGGGGAGGGGTTGGTGGGAAAAGAGAAAAAGTGTGGGGCAGTATAGAAAGGGAATAAGAGAGAGAGAGAGAGGGCGAAAGTTTATTTATACCTTTGCATCTTTGAATTTGTGTTGCAATACCTGAGCACTGTCACTTCTAGTGAAGGATCTTGTATTAGATGATTCATTGGAGATGGAGGTAGAAGGCCAAGTGTGATAGTCTGACATCTGCAGACATTAGAATGAGCAGTAGAAAGTAAAATAAAAGAGAAAGAGTAGAGGTTAATGGAGAAAAAGAGAAGGAAGATGAAAGGTGCAGTCAACAGTAGGCCTCTTTGTGGCTCTACAGGGTTCACTATATAGACTGGCCATTGAGAGACAGTGGAAGTGACTCATGTTAACACGAGACCCTCTGTCACCCACTACCACTTCACAAGGCATTACTCAGTGGTGTGGCTTATGTACATGACAGTAGGAGGAAATAGGAGGAGAGATAGGAGAGAGAGAGAGAGAGAGTGCAGTACATTCAGGTATTGTTGCCACCGAGTCACATATGGAAAATGCCTCAGCTGCATTCTCATAATGCACTAGTTTCAATTGCTAACTTTGTCTATTAGCTACTTCACAGACTCAATGCATGGGGCATACCCCATTACCCATACGATAATTGGAGAGGTCACGGTGTGTGGTTATGTTTCAGAGCAAGACAACATCAAACACTCTGACTGGGACCACTCAGACTGTGTACTGAGGTCCGCTATCATATCACTGGTGGTAGGTGACTGTGGTGGTGTATTGGAGATGAGGAGTTTACCTTCCTCCTGAGCCAGGCCACGGCCCACTGCCAGTCTGACGCTCTGCCCACCAGGAAATCCCGGCAAGGTTTTGACCTAGAGAGGGAGGAGTGTGTTAATGACTAACTTCATCTTAATGTCTACTCAATGATTGAGCCCATGCACACATATGCAGTTTTGATTACTAAACTAACAGAACTTTCTCAAGCATATATACACCACGTCACGGTGTATATAAGCTGCTGCTACTGGAGAAGGTGTGAGCTCGTGACAGTGGCAGGCCTGCTAGCTACGGAGCCACTGCCCCCAGGAATCCATGGTATGATGTAGGAGGCAGCGGCTGGGGAATTGTGCCACACTCAGCCCTCAACATGCCACATTACTTGAGAAATTGACTGCTAAACTGCCACAATCTCTCTCCTCCCCAAAAGGGCTAGGTCCATCGGGTGGTGCTGGTAACCATTCCAACAGGTGGCTCACAATACTGCATTCATTACACATTGTGTTTTGTGAACACTACAAGTCTCTAGTATCCACTTGATTACAACAGTGTATCAGAGTGTGATGAGGTCTATAATAGTCTTGGGTGTGTGCAGCTCAACAGATGTCAGACCAGTAAACCAGTCACATGCTCACTCTTCTTTCCCCTCCATTCGCACAACATCTCTGAAAGAGCTGGATAAAAAACTTACTTGTTCCCCAGTCCAACTAGGAACTTGATCCCCTGGTAGGCCTTCTTAGAGTCGGCCTGTACCGTTGTGTTGTTCTGTATGGTATCTACAGAGAGATAGGGAAGAGGCGAATTTGCCACCTGCGATAGCAACAGTAATTTCAGTTTTGTGTCAATCTGTTTGCTTTTGGAAGGAACAAGGTCACAGCTGTCTTGTAGCCCACCCATACACGTCTTTTGAACACCCGCCTATACAGTGACATGCGAAACATAAGGACTGCAATGTTAGCAACATTTAGGGAAAACAACATTGTACCACTGTTTACCAGTCTCTCTGACTGTACAATACGTAGCACTGAATGTTGGTGCTCGATGTTGCTGTTGATATTGGACACCTGAGGAACTAGTGAACTAGAGACTCTGAACTAGACATTCAATCCTATACAAACAACCCTCTGTCTACCTCTCCTCTTCCTCCCTCTCCTCTCTCTCTTCCCTTCCCTCTCTACTCACCTCACCATGTAGCAATGAAGGGTACACGACCCTTAGAACTATATATAGCGTGGGTCTATACGTATTTCCTTACTAATGTGTGTGGGGAGAGCTGGGTGTGGGAGGTGGTGTGAACTTACTGAATATTGCCACGTGAGGCTGGTATTTGGAGCCCTGGATTGCAAAACTTATTCTCTTGACTTGCAACAGATCTTCTATCAACTGAGAGCAGAGAGGGAGGGAGGTAGAAGGTAAAGGGAATTGTGTTTGCAAGATGTTAGTGTTGACAAAACATCAAAAGTAGACATAACTAATGAAAAGAACCACTTAAACAAAGAGTTTAAGTAACAAACAGTGACAGAGAATGCAACACTAACAGTCATCCATCAGCTGGTACACCTCAGTCTGATGCAAAAAAATCCCAAACAGTCGTCTAGTATTAATTCATGAAATTCTCCACTGAGGGAAGTGTGACGCTAACCTACCACACACCACACACACATGCACACACACACAAAAACACAGTCACATGAGTGTCATGTGACCAGGGGACATACCAGTAACTCTGTCAGGACTTTGAAATAGGACTTTATCTCATTCGCTGCCACATTAGAAATCTGGATCTGAATAAAAATATAGAGAGACGTTAAAATTTGCTCACTCTCTCTTTCCTCTATCTTCTATTCAACCCCACTTCTCTCCCTATACACAGCTGGGTAACTCACTCTCTTCTTCCTTTCAACACCACTTCTTTCCCCTTATGAAAGTATACATAGCTCCCACCTCTACACTATGCATGATATGCTGCCTTGCTCGCTGAGCCATCAGCTAATGCACTCAGTACTTGGACACAGTTAAACTGAAAGTTTAAGATGGAGTACCTGTAGGTCCTCGATGGTGCAGGCAGAGAAAGACTGGTTGTTCCAGCAGCAGTAGCAGAAGGTGGCTGCGATGGCCTCCGTCGCTGCTGGATCACACTCTCTCAGTGTTAACACACACTGAGAGAGAGAGAGAGAGGGAGAGAGAGAGAGAGAGAGAGAGAGAGAGAGGACCACAGTAGTATATACACACAGGAAGAAGTGTTGCTACACTGTGTGCAGTAAGTACAGTACCTCGTGAATGAATCTCTTGCTGTGTTCTATGGAGAAGAGGGCCTGGTGCATCGAGTCTGGCGGAGGTCGAAGGTCAGTATGACTCCCGGGGATCCTGTACGGATTCTCGGACGCGACGTCTGCCTTCTCGTCACTGGTCTCGGTCTCAAACATCGAGATGTCCGTGTTCCGTACCAGCAGCGACAGCGTCCCGTGCAGAGGTCCGAATTCCTTGACCTGATTCGAGGTCCAGCGTCGCGGGGCTTTCTTGTCCTTGTCCTACAGGACAGGTTGGCAGGACATGGCGCGAGGGGGAGGATGATAATGATATTCATTTGAGTGGGTGTGGTCACCTGGGGTCTGTTATCAGAGTCCTTGGGGAGAGGTCCAAGAAGGAAGTTGAGAATTGAGACAAACGCATCTTTCTTCAGAAGATGGGTCACTCCTTGCGGCTGCAGTAAAAAATAATATTAATACACTACCAACAACTTTTCAAAATCGTCTAATTATTATTGGCTAGCTGTGTATGGACGATGGAAGTATATTTTGTACTGGGTGTGTGTGTGTGTGTGGCAAAACTGCTAAACTTAACCCCTCTCTCCTCACGTACATAGCTGGCGTAGTTCTTGAGGAACTCAAAGTACTCGCAGCAGCTCTTGCAGTTGTCGACCACGTCTTTCTCTAGCATTGCCAGGACGCAGTCGACGATGCTGGCGACGGGCCCTCTGTCTGCCTCGCAGCCAAACCCCAGACTGCTCTGGACCGCCATCGACAGCACGTCAGAGTAACTGTGCCTCACCTCCTTACTGGTGCACTCCAGCAGGAAGGGTCTGGGGAGAGTCATGTGACAGTCACATGATGATCACATGATGATCACATGTGACTGTAGGAGACACTTACTTGAGGTATTTCCCCTCGTCTGCAGCCATTTTCTCCATGAACCACTGACAGGCCTCCTGACACTCTCTCAACAGTAGCTTCATGTGACTGACCCACCTATCCTGGTCTCCTCTGTGGGTGGAGAGAGAGAGTGATTCTCACTGTTTTAGCCTTCCAAACGTTTTCTATTTTGTAATCCCCCTATTTCGAACTTAGTTCTTCCCCCTATATCGCTCTGAGCTTGCATCTATTCCACCTATTTCGCTCTTAACCCTTAAGTTTCCCACTATCAACAAACTGTTTCAGAAGTTGGGAACAGTAGAAACATGTGTTTTTTAAGCCAATAGCTTTGGGGTACAACGTACTAATATATACACACCTGAGGTTCCTCTTAGTTCTGAAGTAGGTGTGGAGCAGAAAGTTGGTGGCCAGTTCAATACTGACCACCCCATAGTGCCCCTGCTCTGGGTGGGAGTGGTCCAAGTATATCATCTGTAGGAGACGTTATACTAGGTCACATGACATCAAACACGGGGTCATGTGATCCTCACATTATTGGCGTAGACCAGTTCGCGGACAAAGTCAAAGTACTCGGTGCAGTAGACGTCTCGGTGCCTCATGAACTGGAGATTGTCTTCGTTCACCTTGTGCTGGATGGCAGCTGGCATCGTGTCGTCAAAGAGATGCCTCTTTTCTCCCTTCTGCACCAGCGCCTGCAGGGGGACAGGAGGGGAGGGGAGAGAGACAGGCGGAGAATGAAACCAGACAGTTACAAAGTTTTTACTGTAAATAATGTGATTGCCACGTGAACCTATCTCTCCAAGGTTCACAGTAAAACAGACACAGAAATAGTTTGTGGAATTTTGCAAAAATATGAAGCTGAAATTTGATGAGCTATCAAAACCCCCAGTAATGACAGATTAAATGCTGATCTCTGACTTACCTGCAGCTGCTGTAGTTTGTCCTCTCCGCCGTGGGGACGGAGGGGAGAGGTGGGGTTGGGGGAATCCCCAGACACCCTGCGAGGGAGCGATAGTTTCTTTATGCTGTTGACCGCCTCGTAGAACAGGAGGTAGGCGTTCCAGTAACGAACCCTCATCTCGGGAGTCGTGGAGTGACCTAGAGGGTGGGAGGGGAAAGGGTTAAATGACACGCCCATCTCTTACTCGACCAATGAAATTGTTGGAGAAGGTTCCACTCTCACTTACTGTCAGAAGGTTTTGCTTTGTAGCTGCCTCCGAAACACTCTGCCTCGAGAGCCGCGTTGCTCATCATGAACTGTTCCACCTTCGTGTCGTTGAACCTCAGCCAGCGACCACTTGTGGGTGGAGCCGACGGCTGCAGGTGGGCGGAGTCTTCTTCCTCAATCTCTGGCTCCTCTGGGATGATGGTCGGGTCCAACTGACTGCCCAGGTAGCTGAGGAGGGAGAGAGGAGAGGGTTAAAAATCATGTCAAGCTAGATAGGGGAAGAGGAAAGAGTTAAAAATCGCAAAAAAGACTATTATTGGCTAAACTGCTCCCTCTCTCTACTAAAGGACTAAAGTTCGGGGCGAGATACAAGGGGAAATAAACGTCTAACCTCTTCTCCTTGATGAATGAGTAGTAGTGTCCGGCGGAGGCCTGACCAGAGTGAACCACTATCCCCACGAGGTCGTACATCTGAGGAGGTAGCGGTGGTTCCTCCTTGTCTCTCGCTTGGATACCCTGTGCCGTGTAGGGCTCCATGTCCAACATCCACGGGAACTGAGACCGAACAAAAGTGTTTAAAAACTGGGGAACATGCTAACTACACGTAGGACATCGGGGAGCAATACTCAGCCATTATGATATTTTTTGTTGAGTGAAATAAAGTCGAGAATGCTCTAGGTTTTCGTCGGTGGGTGGAGTCCCACCTCGAAAAAGTCGTCAAACTTGATGGCCCGGTTAGCCTCCCAGTCGTAGTCGAACCTCTTCAGATGGACCACCATCACCGGAGGAAGAGTCTTGAAACACATCCTCTTCAACGTGTCTCTCTGTGGAGGCAAATTAGTGTGCATGAAAAATGGTGTCATGTTTTTCGTCTTTCTGTATGTCGCTCTGAACTTTCGTCTTTCCCCATCTCACTACACATACGTAGCTCTGTACATTTACTTAGTACACAGTGAAAGTCACCTTTTCCTGGCATTTCTCGCAGAGGTAGGCATTCTCTCCCTCCAGCATCTCTCCCTTCACGTGTTCCTTGAGACTCTCCTGCAGCGACCGGCTCTTCACCGGGAGAGAGACCGACAGAAAAGACTCCTGTCTGTCATACGTGTGCTCGCAGTCTCGACAGATCTTCTGGTCCAAGTAGGCTCCTCCAAAAATCTCCTCAAATACTTTGGGCAGGCCCAGTTTCTGGAGGGGAAACAGATGCATTGTTATTCTGGACGTCCAATCCTGGAATTGGACAATGTTTAGTGTAATGCAGACCTAAAACAGTCAACCCGATATGGACATCCCATTCTCAAATGGGACACAAAGTAAACTGACAAGGGTTGACCCACACACAATATGGGACGTCCCGCATTCAGAGACCAATGCCCCGTACCTTGAGGTGTTCGTCGATCTGGTCAGTGAGATTACAGAAGAAGTCGTAAGCATCTTGCTGCTCTCGCACGTTGACCGGTTGTCCCCACAGTTTGAATGTCTTCCAGAAGTTGTCGGGAGCGTAGAACTGCAGCTTGCTCTCTAGCATGTGGCCAAATACGCTTTGAACCTCCGGGAGAATACTGGGACCAGGGAGGAGGGAGGGAGGGAGGGAGGGAGGGAGGGAGGGAAGGGATCAATTGTCACACTGAGACAAAATTGAAGGTAAACTTTAATGTCATTGCTCGCACTCTCTGGGCTAAGATTAGCAGAACAACTTCTTTTATGGACATTCATGAGTATGAAATTTCTATAGTTACAGACTGACCTTTCACCCTCGGCATCTGACTCAGGAGCACTCAGTATCACCTAATCACCGGGAGAAAAGTTCTCTAACATGCAGCTGCCGAGTTGGAGCTAGACCACACCCACCTCTCTGGCTGGTTTGGTCATGTAGAGTTGCTGGAGTACAGAGTTCATGTAGCAGGTGGCTCCAGCGTTCTTCAGACCCACATAGCCACACGGAGACCGCCCCACCACTGGAGGCTGGAACTGTGTACGTGACATATTATTTATACACAATGTAGCAGTATGGAGAGAAATACAGCATTGTTTGCATATAAAAATTTCACACACCTCCCATTCCTTTGCAAACTGAGGGTTGTCGTGGTGATGCAACTTGACCAGTTGCTTGGCGACGCCGACCAGGTTGTCGTAGCAACCGCGGCAGAGCTCGATGAGGAGGCAGTAGGCGGAGATCCGGGAGGGCGGCTGTGAGCAGTGCGGACTCACAGAGACGATCCCTGTCGGCTCCACAGAGTCCAGGATCATCTTGGAGGCCGGGAACAGGAATGTGGCAACCAGCTGGAGAGCAAGGTCGTGACCTTTCAGAGGAAGAGAGACGGAGGGGAGGGGGGAAGGGGAGAATTGAGAGTCATAAAAATGAGGGCCGGTTTAGGAGGAGAGGACCCTAGTGAACAGTGCACCAGGCACACATGAGAACAGAGATGTTTTGATGGGCCTAGTAACTAACCTAACACGGAGAGAGTGAGAGAGTATGTACCGAACTCCTGTTTGTTGATGTTGGTGGAGGTGAAGAGGGCGAGTGTGAGTCTGAGGTGGCCGGCCAGCAGCGTCTGCCACTGGGGATACGAGGTCGTGGCAGGAGTAGCAGAGACAGACAACCACCGCAGCTCCTCCTTCAGCATGGCGTGGACGTCCACTGACAGAGAGTCAATGTCCAGAGCTATCGGACGAGGAAGACAACACTATTTCAAAAGATGGTTCATTCTTGCTGTCAGTTTACTTGCTAAAGTGGTAAGCAACAATCAGAGCAAAAGTTTTGCAGAAGTCTAAGTGTCAGAGCGACTAAATATTCCCATACACCTATAATAGTAAAGGCAACAGCTGGTTCCCTGTACAAAACCCAGCAAAGTTAGGTCCGAACCTCACCGTAGAGGTTTTGTAGCAGCTGAGCTCTGAACTCAAAGTACTCGGAGCACCTCTCCCACTCCACTAGTTGGCCGTGTTTCTTTGGCTCCAGCCGCGTGTCCCAGAGACTCTGGGGTCTCTTGAGGAGGAGGTGGACAAAGAAATGACGCGGCGACTCCACCTGGACAGAGGGACATGCAGAGCTAGCAATCATATGTAATGTTGCAAAGAAACAAAGAGAGAACGTTAACCTGCGAGGTTTTGGCTCTCTTGACAGGCATCGAGTCTGACGACAGAGAAGGCGGAGGAGCTGCGGAATTATTAGACACATGACTGTCACATGACAGGTCAGGTGATCCCCTCCTACCGATGTTGACAGAGCAGAGCTGTAGGAGCTGTTCGACGACGGAGAGACGGATCTGGAGGTGAGGAGAGCCGAGGAGAATGTCGATGACGAAGTCCTCGGTGTGCGGCAGCGTGTAGAACATGTTGAGGAGGTGGGAACGGAGCTTCAGACACGTCACTAGCAGTTCCAGAGCTTCTCGAGCGATGGCCGCATTCTGTGGGAGAGAAGATTACTGATTATTCAAGAGAGCTTGCATCAGTGGTGTGAACTAGGTTGTCCTTCATTTTTGGAGGTTCCATTATAATATTAGAAAGAGAGAGGGAGTGAAAACCTTGGACGAGACGGAGTCAGTCTCCTGCTTTAGACAGATCCCTGCACGGAGCTGTGCGCTGCGCCCTGCGCCCCCTCCCTCTCCCTCCTGCCCCGCCACTCGCTCCGTTAACGAGGTGGGTGTGGTATCCCTGTTTCCACGGTGATGTAGTGCAGGCGAGGGGGGTTGGGAGTCGCTGATGCTGGCGAGATGGAGCTGTCCGGCCGCGGCAGACCAGCAGACCCTCACCAGGTAGGCCAGCATAGTGGCAAAGTCATCAACACTCATGGTCTGTGAGATGAAGAGACCAAGATGATGATGAGAGAAAGAGAGAGAGAGGGGGGGGGGAGCATAAAAGGAAAGGGGTGTAGATGAGAACGGAGGAAAGTTCAATACTGCCACATAAACTAGACGTTTCCCATAAAAGCTAGCAGTATTCAAATTGCCTTTTGTTGTAAGATTTTAAGATTGAAATCTGTCGAAACGGTCTGCCAATATTTCGTTACCTCTATAGTGAGTCTTGCAACTTCATCTTCGCTGCTCATGACTTTTGTCACCTTCGGCCGATCGCCCGTTGTCTCGGCAAGCATTGGTTCGGCCCCGCCCTCTGAAGACCCGGTGTCTCTCCGCCCGCTGGTGCCACCCGTAGACCCCTCCCCCGACTGGGAGGAGACGGGGAGGGAGAGTTGGCGATACGGGACCCTCTGAGCTGGGGACAGGGTGGCCTGGTTACACAGTAGGAACCTGCACAGTGTGTGAGAGAGAGAGAACTTAATCCAGTACGAGCTCCCTTGGCGTGAAAAACTAAAAGGTGTATGAGCTGCAGCGAAACGTGAAAGAGAACGTAGTATGTATATTATTAGATAGTGTTGAAGACCAGCTAACCTTGCAAGAGCCAGGGCAATGGCATAGCAGTCTTGCCTCACAGTCAGATCTACATCAGACGGCAGAGCGTTTCGCTGCAGCACATTGATCACCGACTTTAACCCTCCGCACTCCAGGAAGTTCCGTCGAAACAGCTGCGGCTGACCCTCGTCCACTTCACGATCTCCGGCCGGGATCAACCGACTGCTCAGGATCTCTAGACTGTACAGGAGCCTTGTGGGCGTGGTCTTTGCCGGGTCGAAATAGTCTCTGAGGACGGTGTGTGGGGAGGCGGGGCTCTGGGGGTCCTCGCTGGCCCCCTGGGGGGTCGTGTGGGTGAAAATTTCCATGTTCTCCACGGGGCGGGGGTCCGTGGGGATCAGCATGAGGAGAGATCGGACGCGGAAGATGATGGACGAGCTGCTCATCTGGCAGAGGTCCTCAAGACGGTCAAAGACGGCCTTCTGGCGTGAGAGAATGACTCCGGGGAGAGACTTCTCCTGGGGGAGGGGGGTTGAGGGGGACATTTGGGAAAGGTTTGGACAAGTAGCCTCAAAATCTGTGAAATCCGTGGAAGTACTACCTGCTCTTGTCCAAGTGACTGTCTCTGAGAAGTGCCTTCTGTAGTCTGCGATAGAATGATAAACACCACACATTATGCCAGCATCAAATCTACTAATGTATTTTACTATGAAGGCTCTCTGGGAGATGGTCTATTGCTTTAGTGCCACCGTTTACACAATGTCGAATTACCTCATTTCCTCTTGCATACAGATTGGTCTTGACAATGATGTTCTGATGCTCCTTGAACTTCAGTTGGTGAATCAGCCTGTTGTTGTCAGTTGCCTCCAACTATGGACAAGGTCTCAGTTAATATACTCCATCCCTCTTGAATACTCACCCATCTTTCAGAGATCCCCATCTGCACCTGCTCCTGCCCCACACCCAAAGTCTGAGCAATTCTCCGCCTCACCGACAAGATGCTCTCGTTGGCGTGGCACTACACAGGGAGGAAAAGGGTTAATGTCAGGGTTCAAAGGTCGGCCACACCCACCTCGAGTTTGAACTCTGACTTATGTTGGTCGGGTGAGATGGAGAGAGTGATGGGATGACCAAGGAAGCAGGCTCCGTGGGGAGGATAGTGGCGAAGAAAATGGTAGTTCTCCTAAACAAAACACAAAACAAAAAAATATTTGGGAGCTCCGCGAGTAATAAGCGTTACCTCGGCAACAGTGATGTAACGTTCTAAAAGTAGGAGGAGCCTCTCAACTGATTGCAGTTTCAGGTTTCTAGGGGGAGAGAAAAATACAAAATTTTTAATACATTTACTTCTCCTACGTACATGTCCATGATGCTAGTGCTAGGTCCAGTTTTTGATGGGGTCGTCACGACAACAGGCTCCTCCCCCTCAGTCGGCAGCTGCAAGTTGTCGAGTCGTTTGAAGCACTCGTCAAAGAACCTCTGGTGAAGGGATCCTACGTCCTGGGTAACACGATGATGTCATTATGATGTCATAGCATAGGGGTGGCCTAAATTTTTCGTACTTTTAGTAAGCACATGGCAGGAAGTATAGGCTAAAGATACATGAAAAATCCACTGAATATACAAAAAGAGTGCAGTGCACATTAGTTACAGTAGCGGTAGTGGCAAGATGATGAGTGTCAACAAAAACTTGTTGTACGGCATTGTATTGTACATACCTTCTTCAACTTTGGGCTGAGGCCCTGGTAGCTGATCTGGAGAATGTTCCCGATGAGCTCGTCCGCTATCTTGATGTCCCGCACTTCCAGAGCAGCCTATTGGTCATTGCCATGACAACCACGGTCACATGACATCAGTGTCTAAAGAAAAGGGGCTTACCATCCACAGGTAGTCGATCCCAGTCAAGTCTGGTGTTTCAACAATCTACAAACAGAAGAGGAGAGAGAGAGAGAGGAAAAGATAATATACAACAGAATTTGCACACCCACCCACACAAGGAATATTCATGGAGATGGTAAACTGTGAGGAAGAGAAGAGGAGAGAAAGAGACGGGGGGAGGGGGGTCTCACGATGCTGTGGTAGGCGGAGGAGACCTTCCTGAGTTTCCTCTCTGCCAGGTTTATTGTCTCGAAGAAGTTCCTGAGACACTGGTAGCCGGCCTGGTCCAGTTTGAGGGGGTCCACCTATACCACACCAGTGAGAGGGGGGGCATATTGTAGGGGTCATAGATTCAAGGGGTCCATATATTTTCAGACTTTCGAGGGGTTCATAGAGGTTTTTCTTAGAGAAATCATTGGTTAATGTGTACCTTCAAGACTCTGGTCTGGAATAGTTGTGTCTGAGTTTCCAGCTCCATATCTCCCATCCCTACATCGAACCACTTGAACGCCAACTGAAGACAGAGGAGGAGGAGGCATCATAATGGCTGCACCATTCATTAGCAAGGCACAGAGAAAGAGAGGAGAAGAAAGAGAGGAGAGAGAGAGAGAAAGAGAAGAGAGAGATATTTTAGAGCCACCAACCTTCCTGTCCATGTCACAGGCATTGGGGTTGGCAATAAGAGTGTCCCAGATGTCGAAGGCCCTCTTTGTGGGAACGTACAGAGCTCCATCTTGGAGCAAGAACGCCATGAACTTGAGGTGAATATCCACACACTAGAGCAGAGAGAGAGAGATGAGCAGAGAGAGCGAGCGAGATACTAGGTTTAAGATACGGTACTAATGTATGCTCACTGGTGTCTACACGTGGTCTCTCTCACATGATAGTACCAGACGGTTCTGATTTTAGCATAATAATGCGTACCAATCTCTACTCATTCCGACGTGTGTGCAAGACCAAATAGGCCGACTAAACTTGCAACGGACACCAAATGCACACGAACCTCTCGATGAGAATACTTGCCATCCACCAGCGTTTCCCCACCTATCAGTAATAGCAATATAGAAGATATCAGAGAGATATACAGAGAGAGAGAGAGGAGAGAGGCTGACCTAGGCTCTCTCCCTTGACCTCACACTCCTTCAGAGCCTTGGAGTGGCACTTGGTGAGGCTGGCACAAGTCTGCCTCAGTAGGTCGTACTGTCTCTGCAGCTCTGCTATCTGGTGCTGCAGGGGGGGGGGCGATTCCGTACCACTCTGAACCAAACCAAGCGGTAGGGTACCGACCTGGTCTTTCTGGCCGTAGTTGGTCTTGTAGAATCCCTTGGCGAATCGATGGAGCTGCTTGAACCCAGGTACAACCCACACACCCTATGATAATAGCCAAGAGAAGCAACACGCACACTCAATAAAAACCCCTGCCATGTTCACTCATGACACCCTTGAAATGAAGACACCTCTCTAATAAGAACACCTTTTCTTTCCCAAAAACAGTTTTTAATGCAATTCAACCCCTCAAATAAGAGTACATTTCACTAATGTGGACACTTTCTTCTGTCCCACTGGTGTCTGGATTAGAGGAGTTCCACTGTAGACAAAGTTCTAACCTTTCGAATGTCCTCCACACATTTGCCGATGTAGGTTCTCCTCTCGCCCTCCTTCGTGCTGTAGGACTCGATGAGAATGGAGGAGTGAGCATCGAGAGCCAGTTCAACCATCTCACGGCTCACGTGGGGCAGGTGGGCCAGGTTCCACAGCAGGTCCAGGATCTGCATCACATGATCATCATGTGAGAGTCATGTGATCAGCAGTGTGTGGGTGTACCTTTGAGGCTGTCTTCCCCGAGCGGTCGTCTTTGCCGATCTTGCCGATCAGCTCCAGAAGTTTCTCTCTGTACCTGTCGGAGGCTGACTCCCAGCTCTGCGGGCAACAGGGGAGAGGAATTCATTACTGAAACTGACAACACCACTACCTCTACATCGTGTGTGAAATATGTATATATACAAACTATTTGACAATCTGTGTGCTGTACTTCTCCACAGTGTGTGATAAACAGTCCACCTCACCTGACTGACGAGTGTGAAGAGGTGGTCGAGATGCTGGGGAGTGAAGCGAGAGGCAGCTGCCGCGAGAATGGCATGGACGTTCTCCACCTGGACGGGTTCTCGTCGACCTGCATCTCCCAGATGGACGACAGTTCGTCCAGGGAGAGACGGACTCCCAGGAACTCGACGATGGAGCGGAGCTTGTCGCAGTACTGAGAATGGTGGAGATTCCCTGGGAGGGAAGGGAGACACAAGACGCTTAGTCATGAGAGGGAAGGGAGACACGAGACACTTAGTCATGAGAGGGAAGGGAGACACAAGACGCTTAGTCACGGGAGGGAAGGGAGACACGAGACGCTTAGTCATGAGAGGGAAGGGAGACACAAGACGCTTAGTCACGAGAGGGAAGGGAGACACAAGACGCTTAGTCACGGGAGGGAAGGGAGACACAAGACGCTTAGTCACGAGAGGGAAGGGAGACACAAGACGCTTAGTCACGAGAGGGAAGGGAGACACGAGACGCTTAGTCACGAGAGGGAAGGGAGACACAAGACGCTTAGTCACGAGAGGGAAGGGAGACACGAGACGCTTAGTCACGGGAGGGAAGGGAGACACAAGACGCTTAGTCACGAGAGGGAAGGGAGACACAAGACGCTTAGTCACGAGAGGGAAGGGAGACACGAGACGCTTAGTCACGAGAGGGAAGGGAGACACAAGACGCTTAGTCATGAGAGGGTTTTAATTAAAGATCTCTCGTAAGACAGTGAAACCTAAACGACATCCCTCTATAAGGGACACTTGGTTCTGCCCCATACTAATACATAGGGACACCCCTCTATAAGGGACACTTGGTTCTGCCCCATACTAATACATAGGGACACCCCTCTATAAGGGACACTTGGTTCTGCCCCATACTAATACATAGGGACACCCTCTATAAGGGACACTTGGTTCTGCCCCATACTAATACATAGGGACACCCCTCTATAAGGGACACTTGGTTCTGCCCCCATACTAATACATAGGGACATCCCCTCTATAAGGGACACTTGGTTCTGCCCCATACTAATACATAGGGACACCCTCTATAAGGGACACTTGGTTCTGCCCCATACTAATACATAGGGACACCCTCTATAAGGGACACTTGGTTCTGCCCCATACTAATACATAGGGACACCCCTCTATAAGGACACTTGGTTCTGCCCCATACTAATACATAGGGACACCCCTCTATAAGGACACTTGGTTCTGCCCCATACTAATACATAGGGACACCCCTCTATAAGGGACACTTGGTTCTGCCCCATACTAATACATAGGGACATCCCCCTATAAGGGACACTTGGTTCTGCCCCATACTAATACATAGGGACACCCCTCTATAAGGGACACTTGGTTCTGCCCCATACTAATACATAGGGACATCCCTCTATAAGGGACATTTGGTTCTGCCCCATACTAATACATAGGGACACCCCTCTATAAGGGACACTTGGTTCTGACCCATACTAATACATAGGGACACCCCTCTATAAGGGACACTTGGTTCTGCCCCATACTAATACATAGGGACACCTCTCTATAAGGGACACTTGGCTCTGCCCCATACTAATACATAGGGACACCCCTCTATAAGGGACACTTGGTTCTGCCCCGTACTAATACATAGGGACACCCCTCTATAAGGGACACTTGGTTCTGCCCCATACTAATACATAGGGACACCCCTCTATAAGGGACACTTGGTTCTGCCCCATACTAATACATAGGGACACCCCTCTATAAGGGACATTTGGTTCTGCCCCATACTAATACATAGGGACACCTCTCTATAAGGGACACTTGGTTCTGCCCCATACTAATACATTAGTGTGGTATTATATACATATACTACATCCAAACAGTGAATAAAGGCACTTTCAATGTCCATCATAATAATACTTGGATGAAAGAGTGGAGGGAGAAGAGAGGCAACCTTGCAGAGCAATGGAGAGGACTTTCTTTGAGACCAGCCATTCGACTATCTTCTCTTCAGTCAGAGGGCTTTTGACTCCCTTGGCGGCTGAAAATGGTTCGTCTGTTAGTCTCACCACCTGAGCCACAACAGAGAGCGGGGGAGAGGGAGAGAGAGAGGGGGAGAGAGAAAGAGAGAGTATATAGATAAGAGAGGAGAAGGAAAGATCGTCAAATTAGCTAAGCTAGTGGGAAGGACTGGGGGGAGTAACTCTGGAACATTAGTGTAGAGAGAGACACGGTGTGTATGGCGTTGTGATGATGCACGCACACACACAACAATGTCTCCCAATGTCGGCTGCAGCCCATACTCACATACTACAGTAATAATTGTCAAAATACCAGTGGTTTCCTCTGACTACAATACACCCCTGACTACATGCATGGCACTACCACATAACAGTAAGAGACTATTGAGGAAGTTAGGTTCATTGCTCATAACGCCAGTGCAAAATGTTCGTTTAATATTTCACACAAACACCTAAGATTAGCAAACTCTAACTAACACAAGATTGCCAATTGAGTAACTACGTATTGTACGACACTTTGTGTGGCCACACCTCCTTGAGGGCGTTCATCTTGGCATTGAAGTGAGGAATGTTGAGCATCCTGTGAGTGGTGTCCAGCCTCAGTTGGTCAATGGACGTAACCTTGTCCCACACACAGCAACGGACCATCAGGGCCTTCAGGGATTTCAGCAGGTCACTCACACAGTCAACCTGGCGACACAGAGCGGATCGGGGGGAGGAAAAGATGGTGGCAACACTTGAAGAAGGGGAAAAGCAGGGAGCTAACCCAACAGGTTTCCAGGCCAGAAACATGTATTATGTGTATTGTAAAGAGGAGTGCATTAGCAGCTGAATGAGTGTGTACATCTTGGGAGAAAGAAGAAAAGTCTGGCGAATAAGGGGCGGAGATGTAGGCTTCGGTACGTAGCATTAACACACCCACTTTTGGGGCAGGACCAATAGACAGGAGAGGAATAGGATGTAGAAGAGAGATGTGGAGAGGGGCGATTGTGAACTCACCTCCTTGTCCTTGAAGTCAGTGTCGGAGAGATCTCCCACAAATTTGATGGCGACGACGATGGGCTTGGAGAGATGTGACTTGAGGTAGGCAGTGTTGAGGTAGTCCTCGCACACTGACTGAACGGATAGAACAGCGCCTTCAGTTCCTGCACAGCGGAGTGAGAGAGGGGAGGGGAGAGGGTACAGTTAAATTCATAGTTACTAGCGAAACACACAGGTGCCTCCCAAAAATGTAGTAGTATCATCAGCAAGAGATACAATACATACTGTAGTGATCATAACTATACATATAAACAGAATGTAGTATGTTGGAAGTTATGCAGTACCTTGAGAGTTATGTTCTCAGTTTTCAGAACAGCTTCCGTAATGGCCTGCACTCCTCCGTGCTGGGCAAACTGTATGACATCATCACCAGGATCACATGACAGTCACACGGAAATCACGTGACTTACAGTGTTGAGAATGTCCACCAGCCAACCCTTGTTACTCTGAGGGGAAAGAAAGGAAGACGAGGAGAAAAAATAGGGAAAGAAGGAGAGAGGGTTTTATTTTATTCACCAGCTACACTACTATACCTTTTGCATTTGAAATGGAGGCATCTGGGCAAAGGGATGGCTCTTTCCGTAAAACTTATCCCAGCGAGCCGTGTCAGCCCGCTTCGATCTCATCTTAGTGTGGAAGTTATTGTCCGCACTCCAGACCTGCAGTAGGGGAACCAGACACGACAGATTAGCCTGTAATTACAGGGGCTACCCCGCTGTACGTACCGCAGCCAGCAGGTGAAGCAGAATCAGAGGAATTGGAGGCTGTTTCAGACGCTCGGCGATCAACTCCATGAGGAGTGTGGACATGTCGAGAATTCCCTCCATGATGGACGAGTCCCATCGGAACACGGCCTCGTGAGTCAGCAACTGAATAGAGAGAGGGCGCGAAACGTAGAATGAACGATTTAAGTAGTGCAAAAGAACTTGGTAAATAGGAAAAGGTATAGTTTACAGGACAAGTGTAGAGGCTCAAACTAAGTAGGAGAAGGCAGTGTTGTTTTGTACCTTTGTGAAGCAGTCAACGATGGTTTTGTCAAGAAACTTTCTGCAGTTTTCATCAGCATCGGCCAAACCTGCACCTGTCACCAACAGTCGGTAAACCACGCAGTCATTCTCTCTCAAACCTCACTCACCACCCTCTCTGATCATGTTTGTGGTCGCCATCATACATATCGCCAGGCTCTCCTCCCTCTTGTACGGTATGGACCACTGGTCAGTGTGAACTCTGCTCTCCAGCTCGTAGAAGTGGGTGAGGGGGAACTCTATTGACGACCCCGGAGCCCCCTGGGGGGCAGGGGGAACTATTTCCTGCTGGGGATCCTCCGTGTCGTGGTTCCCCGAGACGATATCCTCATAACGAGGGGGCGGTCCCTCGGGTCGTGGAGGTAGCTCCTCCTCGCGGCTCACTTGGAACTGGAGACTGTGTGAGTCCTCCTCCTCCTCCTCTTCCCCCTCCTCCTCCTCCCCCTCCTCCCCCTCTTCCAGGTTCCTCTCCTCCTCCAGGGAGTAGCTGACAGTGGTGGAATCTCTGTCAGACTCTCCCCCTGATCCGGGGTGCGTCTCTGTGTCCCTCATGTCCACGTCTCTCTCGTACGAAGACGAGCTCGTCTGCGCAGAGACCAGGTGGTAACCGAGACGATCGGCGTCCTGCGGGCTCTCCGGGAGCAACAGTTGAACGGCTTCTTCGGGGTTATTGTTACTGTTGCGCAACGCCTGTCTGATCTGGTCTTCGTCGAGACCGAGACCCATCCCCTTGATTTTTGCCACGCCCTCATCTTCAAGACTGTCAGACATGATGGTGTCAATGTCTTCACCTTCTTCTCCTCCTAGAGAGAAGAGGGAAGGTGCGTAAGAAGAGGAGAAAACGGTATAGCAAGGGCAGAGCTGTAAGGATGTAGCTACAGAAAGGTTGTCCATTGCATCTCTAGCTACGGCAGTCCGGCTAGTGGGGGCGGGGGGGGGGAGGGATCACAAAGAGCCTCCGACTGCAGTGGGCGTTTATTGAAACGGCCACACCGCACTCCTACGGGGCCGGGATGTACGGTAGAGCTACAGTACTACGCACCTTGTTCCGCGGATGAACCTCTCTTGCATTAGCGCATCTTCCGTCGATCGCCGTGTAAGAAGCCCAAATGGATGGACGGCGCGGCGTACGCGTTCGGCGGCGAATTTTTGCACGTCACGTGACTATAATGTCCGTAGAAACGGAGTTAAATTTCCGAAAAAGTGGGTGTGTTCCTCAGAGTACTACGATTGTGCAATTAAAGCTAGAGCAAAGATGCTGCAACTACAGGCTGCAGGAGCGACTTCTACGGACGATCTCCACCCAGCGGAACACTGTCTGGACGGGTAAAAAAACTCCCTAGCTCACAGAATTTTGTAACAGTTCTATTTCGCCCTGCTGCACAGCAACCCGGAAACTTTCTGGCTGAGCACTGGACTGTTTCCACAAGAACTGGTCCTCTCTCTCCCCTCGCCCACCAGGATTGTCGCAGTTCACCTGCGATGCTGCAACGGTATATGAATCATCAAGAGCCATTTCAATCAAAGATGTTGTGCCATTTCCCTTGTGTTTCTGCAGTCAAGCAGATGTCACTCCAGCATTCCACTGAAGAAATGCCAGGAGGGTTTACTGAGCTAGCTAAATCAGGTAATCTCGAGCAAAGATCGTTTGTAGGAGTATGGAAATGTATCATTTCTTGCAGATTTTCAGTCACAGGTTGGTCATGTCCAGTCGGAGCAATTTAAGGTCAGAAAAAGGCAGTTGTGATAGGCTGGAGTAATGAGATCTTGTATCTACAGTTGCAGAGTCCAGTTCTCACAAGACACTTGAAACTTGTCATAACAAAGGCCTATGCTCATTTCGTCTCTTTTCATTCCATCAATATCACTCCAACTTAACATTGTTGATGGTTGAATGACTGCTATCTGAGAATGTATTTGCTGCTGAATGTGAGAGGTTTGGTGGCAGTTTGTGGAGGTATGAAAGGAGAGAGAGTAAACGATAGACTAATGTCAAGTGCTCTGGGATCTTTCTTGCTCCTTGACACACTCATCTTTCCTTCCATCACATCTCCTGTTCACAGTAGTACAATATGCGATAAACAACAGAAACAAATTCCAGTCAATGCTAACTGTTTAATAGTTTACCGGTCTGAACAGGGATAGGGTCCTGTAGGTAGAAGACAGTCTGTTTCCAGTGGGTAGGGGGGCTCTGGGGGCCAGTTTTTAGAACCTCACAATGCTGGGGTCCCTCGAATTCAGCTTCAAAGAACCCCACAATTGCCTGCACAACACAATGGGACGCCGCCACACTTTGAAACACAAAAAAGTGCAGTGGCTCCAACAAAAAAGTGTGGAGATTACTTGGCTCATATTTGAACATTCAGTCTCACATGGCAGAGGGAGTCTTGTTCGATAGTGAGCTGAAATGGCTCCTCAAACTGTAGCTCTGCCACAGTCACACGAGTCAGGTGAAACTCCTGTAATACCGCCAATGGAGAAGAAGGAGAAGAGTGAGGCAGCCATCACTGAGAGGGAGGGGGGTCACAACCTTGAGGGTGTGTGTGGAGGAAATGACACGTGACTCCTCCATACACTGAACACTAGCTTCCTTTAGGATCTCAGTCTTCATACAACTCATCTTGAAACCTGGAAACCACAGAAAGCAAGTGCAAAGTGAAGTTCTCTAATCCAATAATGTCAGTAATGCTTGTGTAGACAGGCTATTTTTCACATGGGACTAAACTACTGACCATAGACATTATCCCAGAAGTCTATGCGAGCCTCTCGCTCGGTCTCATCACTCACAGCTACCAGCTTCATACGGCACACATTCGGGTAGACTGTGCAGATACAGAGACACTATCAGATCAATAGCAGTTGGTAGGTATGATGTATGGCCACCATGAGATGGATCCCTGAGCCACTTGTCTCTGGAGAAGATGACTGTGTCCAGCATTGACTCAAACAGAAGAAAGTAGCCCTTAAAGAGAGTAGAGGGAGTATATATACCATACTGTTGTACACATTAATACACTCACCATCCACTCTGAGATGATGATGTCAACCTATGAAACATCGAAAATGAATATTTTTGGAAATGCTGTAAGTTGTGCAATACCTTGTCAACAGGAAGCTCCACTTCCTCTAATTTCCCTCTAATCAACTTTATCTTGTCTTCATACCCATTCTCTCTGTATGGAACAGAGACCACAACAGTAACCAGCACACCAGCAATCCCATCAGCGTAATGCCTGCTCCATCGTCATATGCTCCGTCCGCAAAAACTGTTGAGTACTTGAAGCCTTGCCTTTCTCGTTGGCTCAAATGTCACCTTCCTCCATGTCCTACATGTTGTGCATTGTAATCTTTGACCATGTATGGGATAATCCTTAGCGAAGGCAGTTTTCCGCGTGCGCAGGACCGACGTGACTTGGTCTTAGGGGCTCGGCATAAGCGAGGGGTCGTCGCATCTCATTCAGAGAGCCCGAACGGTTGCCAACGGCTAACCAAGCCCGTACTGCAAAGGCAGGGGCCATATGAAGAGGCGGTATTCTCAGGAGCCAAACTATGTCGGCATCGTGTGTCCAAAGAGCGGCTAGATGTCCTCGTAAACGCCCTCACTGGTAGAAGCTGAGCGTATCTACAACGGAGGCCAGCGTCGGAGTGCAAATCTGGTTACACAACTTAATGGACCGTCAAGCCTCGGCGAGTGATTACGGAGTCCAACCCGGCGGTCCCTGAACTTCCCTTGGTCGCGCTCGGCCCGGCATCCCTGCCAGTTGCAGTCGTCAATCCCGCGCCAGGTGCGCGACTTCGCCAATTCACCGGGCAGTTGGCGAAGACTTACGCGGCTTGATGCACATGTGCTGCGCACTTCGGTGAAGCAGTACGACGCGCGATCCTCCACTGAGGGATGCATGATCTCGGGCACTCGGGCAATGCTGGCGCAAGGCGCAGGTGTCGGGCATCTTGGTTGCTGAGAAGAACGCTTGGCCGCGCCACCCAGAAGTCCGCCCTCGCTTAGAGGCCCATATCAGCTCTGCAGCAGGAGCTAGACGACCTGGACACAGACCTGTCGACAGAGGATACAGCACAGTCCCCTATGGCGTGAGAAGGATGACCTTCTGCGCAGCGTTCCCGCGTGGGACGCAGGTGTCGCTGACACTACTCTCGCGTATCTGCCGGACTGGGCACGCTGAACCGCAAGCAGATCGCCGCCTGTGTCGGTGTGGCGCCGTTCACATCGGACAAGCGTCCTCATCGAGGCGCGTTCCGTGTGGGGCGGTCGAGCTACGGTGCGCTCTACGCTGTATATGGGCGCACTGTGTGGCCAGTCGTCGCCACCCTGGATCTCTGCGTGAGTCTACTAACCAACGCCTGCTGGAAGCCGGTAAACCTAATAAGTGTAGCCCTCACCGCGTGCCATGAGGAGTTGTTGACATACTCCACAGCATGGTGAGACAGGTCAGAAAGTGATCCGATCATCCCACGTCTTGCAGGTACGACGGTTGCTTTAATGCTGAACATTAACTTGTGACGTTATGCTAACACGACACTGTCCCGGATCTCCCACATACACCATACGTCAACGAATCCGCCTCTCTCCTGCTACTCGAGAGCGCACAACCATCACACATCTACAGAGTTACTTTGGCTCCTAGAGCTCGCGCGGCCATACCGGGGTGGCATTCCACAAGAGGGCGTCAGGGCTGCTTCGGGTGCAGTGCGAACCACGAAGTAAGCCTTGAGTATCCATCGCCGTAGGCGTCACACAGGGCGTAAGGAAGGTCCTGGCGCGCGTCGTCGTTGTGGGTGAAGCCGTCCGGTTCGTCCGTCGTTCATCTTGGACATTGCGTATCGTCAGCGTGGATACGCATACTTCGGCTGTGTGCCTCAGGCGAGTTGTCTGTGTTCTCGTCTCTGTCTGCTCGTCGCATGGCAGAGCTCCCTGCGTTAGCGTTTGAATTTGTTCGCATCCAGTAATAGTGAATGTAGCTTCAGTGTAGTTAATGGTTGACGAGTCGACTGAGGGCGAGAGCGGAAGGAGGCAACCACTAGTAAGCCCTGCTCCCGCTTCTATCTAACTCTATTTCGCTGAGAGCGAAGAAGCTCGAGCAGTACGCGCGGATGTGGTGTGTGTCATCCATCGTGACGACATCGGTATGAGCCGCGAGGACTGGGAGAACAATAACCAGGGCAGGGAACTATCCGGAAAACCTTGCAGCGCATAATCTTCGTCAGCATCGGAACGGTCCGGTCCGTACAGTGAAGCTCTACTTCCAGAAGGATCTGATGAAATTCTTCGACGTCAAGCTCAGCGCGAGTTTGCTGTGACTTAATCGGGTGCAAGCGCCCGGGGCTTGAGCCGTTTTTTTCCTGAAGACCGGAGGCATCCATTGGTCAGGCCTCCGCAGTGGGCAAGGACAACATCGTTACATTACATCGGTTCACATGGCCGTTCTCACTCGCTGAGGGCTGTAATGACCGGAAAATCGGGCAAAGCGATGGTTCTACGCAATTCACATTCCACTCCAAAAAACAATATGATAGGCGCTTACCGCTACGGCGAAGATGCTTGCCGCGCGTTTTTTGGGGTTTTCTACGTGTCTACACGGGTCCACGCGCTCAGAGGCGTGATAGCCCTTCCCAGTGCGTGCGCTACTCGCTCCTGGAGGGTCGGCGTTGCATCTGACTAACACCTGGCTGAAACGGCGAACCGTGCCATCTATCCGGTAGGCCCCCACCAGACGGAAACGGGTCACGCCTCGTCCATTGGAAAGCTCTTTTGCTTCGACGTTGCCATGGGGTGTGTCCCAACCCCCGGTGGTCCCACCTCGCGGCAGCCTCAATGGCAGGGTAACGACTTTGCGTCAGCTCCTCCTGACTGAAGGCGCGGTTGGGTTCCGACAGAACTCAGATATCTTCTTCGGGAAGGCACAATTGCTATGTGCGACGACGTATTCCGGTGTCGACGGCCATTCTTTGGGCCTCGACGCTGTGGGGGACTATCATTCCGCTCGATTCCTGCTGCAATGCTCCCTGCGGACGCCGGGCGCCAAAAGTTCGGCGCCACCGCCTGAGGGATAATAGCCTCCAAGCTGACGCGTTTTCCACTTCAGAGACGCAGAGCACGACCACGGTCTACCTGTGCAGAAGCTGTGAGGGCCAATTCGCGTCGATGTCGTTCTAGGGCGCCTTGGCCAGCAGGTCGGCAGAGGCACCGCACGCATTCGCGCACGGAACGAATCCTGAATCAGACTCGCAGTCGCGCTTTTGCCGGACCCGGACGCGCTCGACAAGCCACAGGATGCCTCGGACACGTAATCGACGCTCCGCCTGTCTAGCGGCGACGCCCAATAATCTATGAGCTGATCAAAATCGTCTGTCGTCTAGATTATGTTGAAGCCGGTCCCAGAGGATTCCCTTCAAGATTTCTATGTCCCTGTCGGGCGATAATTTCCGCTCGTGAGATCCCGGTGTCATGGATGAAAGGTCCGTGGGGTTCGATTTTGCCGGTTCTGGATATCCGCTACCCCGGACTGGGTGGTCGACTGATAGGAGGAGGTGACGGCTTCGGCCGGGTGCGCGAATTGCGCAGCCCTGGTCCCACAATTCGCCGCTATTGCCCTCTGTCTCCCGTCTCCATTTTTTGTTGTCCGCCAGCTTGTCCCTCAGGTCCTCCCGCCCCTGGTCTCCGAGCCGCGGCAATGTGCGCAGCCTGTCGTTGTGGGCAGGACATCCGTGGATGTTTTTCTATCCCGAATTGCGACCCAGTGAGGCCGCCTCGCCACTCATACCAGATGCAGGGTCCGTGCCCGTGCCGGACCCTGAACTTTTTTGCCTATGATGGGCACCCGCAGACTCGCCGATGGTTTACACCCGACTGACACGGAGGACATCTGATCGCCTAGGGAAACTCCGGGGTTTCTCCTATTCCTTCCTGACTTCATTCCGCTGCGTTGCCCAAGATACTTGCCTCAGTTTTGCGGACACCGGCTACTTGTGCGCTGTGGAAACTCGTGATCGCCGAGATTCATCAGTCTCCTTGCCTCATCTCGCCCCGGCGGAATTCCCACCGAAACGTCACCCAGACCGGCAGCTGACGCGCGTCTTTTAATATTCTCCTTGTATCTTACATGTAGGTGATATCCCATCGAAGCAGGTTCCGAGTGCGGCAGACCGAATGCTTTCTGTCTTGAGACCGTTTTATAGCGAGGGTCCCGCACTCTTTCCAAGAGGGCCTTGAACGGTTGCCTGTGCTAACCCAGCCCTGTATCTGCAAGGCAGGGCCATTCGTAGTAAGGATGCGAGAATTTCTCAGGACCAATTTATGTCGGCTCGTGTGTCCAAATAGCGGATTACATTCTGTCGGCTGCCCACGTGGTACGGGCTGGAGCGTGTCTTCGGCAGCGATGGCGTCGATGATCTTGGCTCTCAGTTAAAAGGCTCACCCGCAGGAAGTGATCACAGAGTCTAACCGCGGCTTGAACTTCCCCTGGCAGCGCACTCTGGCCGCGGCATCTCTACCCGTTTGTCTGTTGTCAACCCCCGCCATGTGC